AGGAGTTCTGCTATTTTTGTTTGCTAAAATATACTGTTTGTCTTCTCTTTTTATGTTTTTTAATTGAACTTGCTTATTCGTTTTTTGAGTTCAACATAAATGACTTCTTTTGGGTCTATTGTAAGGATGCACCGATTAATCGGTAAGTAATCGGTAATCGGCCATATTGGCCACCTCGCCGATTAATCGGTTTCGATAATTGGCCAATTTTACATTTTGGTATTTTTGTTAGAATGTTACGTACAGTACAATGTTAGTAATAAAAACTAATAAATTTCTGTTATATATTTATTATTTATTACATGACAAACTGAATATTAAAAAAATTTTACGATTCAAATTATTCCTTTTATCGATACATATTATAAGTATAATATAACGTATAATAAAAAGTTTAAACTTTAAACATATAAAACAAAAATTTAATATTCAAACTGTAAAACCCTTAAATTGCAATGCAAAAACACGAGAATTTCACCATTTTCAGGGCATAACCTATTTTTGCCGGCTCGTAAATGTTACCTCCAGTGCTGAAAATTTTTTCACTTTCAATGGAAGATGCTGGGGCACTTAAATATTTCATAGCTATTTTGCTCAAATTAGGAAAAAATTCTTTTGAACTTTTCCACCACAAAAATAGGTCGGTATGTCTTTGTTTAAGGGGTAAATATAAATATGTTTCTAATTCTTGATCGAAACGTTTGTTTGTCTCCTTTTTTTCTTTCTTTTTAAAAACATGTTATTCTTCATTCTTTCGTTTACCAGAAGCTAATTCATCAAATAAATCAGAAAAACTTAGAAATTCACCTCCAACTTGATCACCTCCAGAAGTAGAAGCTTTAGAATTTAATTCTTATTGAGATTTCCTCTACCATATTCTCTTTTTGAAATTTCATTTTGAATCTAATAAAAATGACAAGCATAAAGACTTGTTTTCTATATATGCTGAAAATCTTTTTTTTTTGGATTTTCTAGTTCTTCTGTTGTGGTATTAATGCCACTAAAGGAACTACTGATCTTTGCTTTTGATAAGAATAATTTCAGAGTCTCTATTGTGGGAATTATTGAAGATGAAGTGGCTTCTCGTTTGCTGGCTTTCCACAGTAATTTCTTTGAATGGTTTTACAAGTAGAACAATTTTTTCAACGAGAGACCACTGATATGGGCTCAACGTAGGAATTTTATTATCTATAGCATATGTGACAAGGGCCTTTTGCTGTTCCAACATGTAGTATGTAGAATTCCAGCGAGTAGGAACATCTTGAATTAATTTGTGTTTCTGCAAACCTAACTTTTCTTGCAAATCTTCCAATTTGATTACAGCTACAGCAGAATGATTAAAATGTGTGACAATATTTCTATTAACTGTGATTATAGTTTTCACATCTTGTTTAGAAAATATGCATTCGTTTAGTGTCAGCTGCAGCGTATGTATAAAGCATGATAATGCTTCTAAGTTGCAATTCCTAATTCCAGCTACCAGATTTGCTGCAGAATCTCTTAGTACTAAGAATATCTTATCACTTGTCAACTTATACTGTTCAAGAACAATTTTTAACTGTTCACTGATTCGTGTAGCTGTGTGGGAACCTTCAAAGGAAACAATTTGCAAAACAGCTCTTTCCTGCTGAAAATCATCCTTCAACCAGTGGGCTGTTACACTTAAAAAAGGAGAATTGTTTGTAGTTGCTGTCCAAATATCAGCGGTTAAAGAAATATATTTTGTTTCTGTTAAACACAGAAACACTTCAGCTTTTTAAACAATGTCGAAGTTTCCATGCGTCAACAATTAAGTGTTGAGATTTATTTTAGAAACAAAGGAAGAGATTGTTGATTTTGCGAGGATATTCGATCGTCTCTTGTTTACCTGACCCGAGGGAGATGGAAATACCAGGTGGAGAAAAATGGGTTTTTTCCACATTATAATTAACTGTATAATTAACTCCAGGATCTCACACTATTAATGCAATAAATTATTAACACTAATCGGCCGATTAATCGGTATCGGCCGATAATGCATGGCCGATTAATCGGTAATCGGTAATCGGCCATTTTGCTTATCGGTGCATCCTTAGTCTATTGGTAGTTCTCTGAAAGGCCCGTTATTAACTATTTCTGATTTTTTGGTTTGGATCCATTCTTGTTTCACTATGATAATCTGTTTGGATTTATCTGCTTTTATGCAAACTGTTTGCCAAGTGTCAATAAATGCACCAAGTCACGACATAGAATTAAAAGTTTTTCGTCACATTCGCGGCTTTTAAGTAATGCATAAATCTTCGAAACGCGAGGCCCTTCGGACCACGAGGCATAGGGGTGGCTCATGTTGCCCATGCCTTATGCAGCCCTTGGTCATAGAAATGATGTAATTTGAAAATAAATTATTTATAAACATGTATGTTTTATTATGACGCAAAATATATTTAAGAGTTTACGACCACTGTGCCGGGTGAGACATTGTTGAAACAAAAAAGTTATGCATTCCATCACGTACATAAACAGTATCGTAATTCGCCAAGTGCAAACCAGCAAATTGGTAAAATTTTTGTTTATTTTGAACAATCCGGATAATAGAGGTCCGGATAATCGAGGTTCTACTGTATATCAAATTATATATTTTTTACAAATAGAAGTCTTAATATTTGTAACTTACAGACATCTGAAGTTTTTGCCTAACTCAATTTTCTAAGTAATAGATAAGAGATCAAGTGTATTGACATAAATGCAAATTCTGAAACTTCATGCTTGATCAGTCATCTTTTTGTTTTTATTTTACTTTTGATTAAGCCTGCCATGCAAGCACTTAGTCTTTTCAATTGAAAAAGTAAACACTTGTTATTGATTGAAGATTCAATTTGCAGGGTTGAAGGAAATTGAAACACAGGTCAACAATGGAGAGGTTGAATACTGATAGATGAGACCAGAAATATCTGATCAATCCATTTCTGAAAATTTCTGAGGACTTAAGTACAGTAAAAATTCAGTAATCCAATACCTTTGAGCAATGTAATTCAGTAAACTGTATACTCTACATTGTACCATGCTGAACAAAATGTGTTTTGTGTTCAGCTAAGTTTCTTAATTGGAAATTATTAAACTTTGCATAAAGTTTAAAGATGACTAACCTTATGTTTGACACATTAATAAATTGTTTAAAAAAATGTAGTTTATACTAGTGTAGTGTTAACTAGAAATTCACTCACAAATAAATGAATATCAGTCCTCTTAATTCTAAAGATCATTTTCTATTCTCCAAAATAATAAAGTATATGTTTTGGTTTTCATATTCATTTAGTTGAAACTGCCATATTCAATTCAAAATGACAAGAATTTGATTATTTGTTTGACTGATTGAAGATTCAATTTGGCAGGGTTGAAGGAAATTGAAATAATGGCTGCTGATAGATGATGCAACTATGTTACATATGTTTAAGTGAAGTTTTATGCTTCATTTAATGAAAACTAAAATTGTAGCATTGATGTCCACACTCTATCTTAATGGAAGTACAGTAGAGCATCATTTATCCGAAAGAATTCCAGTTGGCAAATTTAAACTTTCGCTAGTGCTGTGGCGCTGCAATCTTTGGCTATATCTTGGGCTACTCCAATATTTTTTATGTTTGTGTGTGTTTTAGCTGGCAGCACTGTCACTTTTGTGTGATGTTTTTCTGAGGACTGTGTGTCATGCTGAATCAAACGTTTTTGATATTGGATAACTTCTAAAGTATAATTTTTTTGTTTTTATATTTTTTAATATATTTATTTTGTTTGTAAAATAATAATAAAATAATTTTTAATGATACAATAGCCACGATTATTATTTTAAAAAGTTTACGTTAGGCTTAACATCGACAAAAATTCAACGCAAAGCGACGTGCAACGGAGAAAAATTTCAACACATGATAAGTTAATGTATTTTTTCATACATAATCGGTTATCCGAACAACCCCAGTCCCCAATTGATTCGGATAAATGACGCTCTACTGTATTAGTTTATGCACACCAGTTAGAATTTGTAAGTTCTCATATAAAATCTGAAAACCACCAGTTAACATTATCTAAATACTAAATGATATTTGTTCAAACATTTTAATTTTAGATTAACAAATAATCTAACAATAATGATTAAATGACTCAATTATAATATTTCAGGAATGTGAAATGTAAATATGACATACTAAAAGGCATTAATTTTATTCTGTTTGTATCTCCAATGAAAACATTAACAGTCCAGTTACTAGTACTAGTATATAAACATAACAGTAGATTTGTTTTTCCTCCTATAACACAATAAAAGTTTTAAATATATTTCTCAGACTAATTTTATATCTATAGCTTTATAAAAACTTAAATTTTCATAACTAGCATAATTTCAGATTTTAATGCACTCACGAATAAATGAATATCAGTCCATTGTTAATAGCTTTACAATGTCGTGAATTCATTTAACTCAATGAAAGCATCAGATTAACTAACATAAAAATAAATCTCTATATTTACATTTAACTTTCTGAATAAGTAAGAAAATGTTTCTAAGACAAAAATGAAATTGAGATGATTGTATCAAGAACATCAAAAAATAAGTACGGTACATAAGCAAGCTGTAATATGGTAACTAGCTAAATATATAAAAAATTTAGATAAGATAAAGTGCAAAATAATATAATTGTAAAGTGAATAAACAGAAGTAAAAGAAAAAGAACATTGCAAACATGAATACAACTAGAATAAATTAAGGAAATCACATTAGGAAATTATTTCAGAAGCAAATAGAATATGGAAGAACAGACATTCTACTGAAATAAAATATTTTTCCATATTTACAGATTATTTTTATCAAAATGCATAATTAGAGATGATTAAGACCACCATTAGAGACATTTTACAGAAGTAAAGAAACATAGGAAAAGTATAAAAATTTACAAAATAATTGGTAGAATTGTTCATATATATAAAATAAACTAAGTAAATATGAAATAAATTAACTAAATATTACTTACTTGTGTTATTAGCAGTAGTAATTATTGTTATTGCTTGTTGACCAGATGAAGTTAAACCAGCAGATGAAACTACTATCATTTTAACACCTCCAGCTGTATTAACTGTATTCAACTGTGTACCACCTAATAATATAATCTTGTTGTTAGAAAAACAAATTATTTTTACATGATCTTCTAACTTAAATTACAAAAAAATACAAACAAGCTACATAAGATTTTATTTACTGCTTCTGTACAGTAATATACAATAGTTCTGCAATAAGCATCAGAATATTTTTGAAAGATCACACTATTTTTTGAGGTTAACACCATTTTTAAAAATACACTAGACATTAAAACCAAATGAAATTTTCTGATATTTCAATTATCTGTTATGATTTTCATTATAGTTGGACTAAAATGCTGTATGTATGCTGAGTAGTAGCAAAAAAATTGAGTGAAATTCATCTTTCATCTATAAAATGAAAAAGAAAGATTCTTGAAAAAAAAACATGCATATAAGCACACATTTATGACTAAAAAACAATTGCAAAATATAAATCTATCAAATTTGATTTACATTAAAATAGCCCATAAGGTTCAGGCTGAATATTTTATACTTTGGTTGATTCTGGAAAATAAATGTATGTGCAATACGATTTTATTTTTAAAGTGGTGTCTTTTTTTAAAAAATAAAATTTAAAAAATTTGTTCAATAAATTTATATTTACTTTTTCTTTAGACTCTATTTATTTTAAAAATTAATATCTCTTAGCAAACAATAGAATATGCATACCACCAAATTGGCAAACCTAATTACCATCATGGACTGAATATAAACTGAATATGAATATTCTCTTTTCAAAAACTTTTTAAAATTAAAAACAAACTGTAATATATAAACTTCAACATCACTTGGCTACAATAGTTATGTTAAAATTTATAGGCTGAAATATGAAGTTAATATAAAATATAATATAATAGTAAATATAAAATATGAAGTTAATACATAAAGTAAATAATATAACTCACTCATTTTATAATAGTTTATTAATAATTACTGGTAAAAATGTTTCATCTTCAAACCCTTTCTTTGTAATAATTTGTTCTATTATATTGTCTTGGCCATTAAAAGTGGAACATGATTCAGAACAAACTGCACATTCTATTCAAAAACTGGTATAATAGTTTTTGTTGTAAACAGTTAAATATGCCGTCTTACATGACATTTTCTAAAAACAGATTTAAAAGTTTTTACCATGAACTGTTAGTTTTACTCAAAACCTTCCAAAATCATACATAAATGATTTTATTGTGTTTACTTTAGGAATCATATCTACAAATTTGAAATCAATTCTTCATTATTTTGATTAATTACTTCTATTAGTGAAATGGTTATACAAAGATGTTCTTGTTGGGGACAAAGCTATTCTTGTGTCTTTCCATTTAACTTATTTTTGTTTTTATTTGTTTGATCAGTGAGAACTATGTGCTCTTTCCTATTTTTACACATCTTATATATGTTTATGAAGCATGTTTTCAAAATGGATTATGTTCTGATTGCACTCCATTATTAAATGGTTAAGGCTATAAAACAGAATTAAATTTTATGAAAGCAACAATCTAGAGATAAAAAATAAAAGCAATAAAAATTTTAAGAAATGTATGCAAAAAAGTAAAACAAAATAAAACAAGAAAACAAGATAGCTAAAATCTTTAAGAGGTAAAAATTATAAAAAGCTCAAATTCAAATTATTTTCTTATTCATCTATTTACAAAATTGGGAATTTTAAATCTAATATGCTGGCATCTATTATTCTTTATTACAGATCCTTTATACACAGCTTTAACAATTTCTCTACTACCTCTTTACTTAGAGCTGAGTTTAGTACAGTAAGACCCCACTTAAAGCAGAGGATGCATTCCTGGACAACAAAGCGCTAAATGAAGCAGCATTAAATGAGACCATTTTAACAGAGTAAATAGGAAAAGAGTAACACGCAACCAAAAATTAACAAATTTTACTATAATTTTAAGTTATTTTTATATTAATTTGCATAATAATACATGTTAAATAACACAAACATATGCAAAGAGAAATGTAAAGTTCAATTTTTTTGTGATGAAGATCCTGGCCTTTCCAAAATTCTTGTTTTTTGTGATAAAGTCATGTAGTTTCATTTGCCGCTTTTTTCTTTCCTTAAGCAAATGTCAGTTGCAAAAGATCGCACCCAAAAACCTTGTCTTGCTTTTGCACTCTTTTCAAAATCTGAATCATTTGATACAATTTGACCAATGATTTCGGTTATTGTTACCAAACCTTTACTAAGAAAATTCATACAGAAATTCTCTGGGTTCTTCATTTCAGAATCACTATTTTCCAGTTCTACATGAATTCCTTGTTCTGCCAGTTCTTGAAGGTCATCGTTGGTAAGGCTCTCACCAGAAATATGCAGTAACTCCTCAATATCCTGTTCGTCTACATCTCCTAGTCCTGTTGTATCGATTAGGTTGACAATTTGGTCAACCTAATGATACAGCAATAGGCTCTTCTCGGATTCTTGGATACTTCCACACTTCGGTCATATATTTATCAGTTAGTTCTTGCCAAGCAAAATAGATATTGCCAATGGCATCCACAATGTTATATTTTTCCAAAATTACCAAACAAACACAGATTTAAGGAAAGTACAGCACTATGATGAATTGTCACCTTTTGCTGATTGGTTCGTGTTCGAGAATAATCATATTATACACAAATCAATGAAATGCCGCGATAATTTGAATCAGCATAAATTTTGAGCTTTTTTTTATGCTTCAATTTGAGCAGACTGCATTATATTAAATCAGCATTAAGTGGAGTCTTACTGTATTAATTTTTCCTTTCTTAATTTCTATTTAGTGTTTGACAATTCTATATTATGTTCTCTTATCTTTATTGACAAAATACGCTTTCACAATTCACTTTGGAAAATGAAGAACTTTGATTAAACAGATCTTAATTAATTGGGACTCTACTATAGATATATTCATTAACTGTATTCCAAATAATAATGAACTTTTGTCCAAACATTCTCAGACCAGAGAATCAATGAAATGTAGTTTTCTTACAAGCATCTGGAGTTTTAGTCTCTGCTGGAACATAAACAAATTTTTCCTATAAATCACTATCTATTCTTCCAATTCTTTTCTTATTAAAAGATCTAAACAGTATATTTATTAAAGGAAGGCTACTTTATTTTTATCTTCAGACCCAAATTCTTTTAGATAGTAATTTTTACCAAGCTCTGTTTCTAGTACTTTTCCAAACAACAAAGATTCATCTGATTTTATATAGTATTTAATTTTGTCAGAAAATTTTCTACTAACTTCTTTAATTACCCTGTTATTTTCTGCTAAGATGCCTACTAAAGATTTGATAAATAATCTTATTCTTTGTTTTAAACATTTCAGAAATGTTATTTCTAAGAGTAAATTGTTTAATGTGTCAAGCTTGAAAGTTTCACTTGTAGAAATAACAGAACAACTTCTAATTTAATTAATAAGTAGAATTTCTCATAGTGAATACAGCATATATCAATCATTTTATCAAAAATTTTCTTACAAATACAAATTATTATAATTCAAGTACCATTTACTATAAATACAAACATAGTCAAGTTACAAAATAACTCATAAATCATATTATAACAACTTATAGCTGCAATTACAAATGAAAAAAAAAAAGGAAAGAAAGAAATCCATTACAACTAAGCAGATAATGATTTTATTTCATTTTCAATAAATGTGCTATCATAGAATATAGTATTGACACAAAGAATATTAATTAAAACCTTTAAACTGCCTTATAGTGTTAAAAATATGAAATAAACTGAAACAATAAAAAGTTGTAAAATTACAAAGATAAATATTATTGAAAAAACTCTTTAATTATATATTATTGTCTTCTTGTACTTAGAATAAAAAAATAAAAACATTAAAAACAAAATAAAAGATATTATATTTCTTGGAATATACATTTAAAAGTAACTTCAAAATTTTAAATAGCAGTTCTTAAGTAAATAAGAAGAAATAATAGAAAAAAAGAATAATGATATTTATATATACTAAAAGAAATTACCTTTTCCTGCTTGAACAGTTGTACAACCTCCAGAAACTGTTTTTAACTGAGCATGTGTCGTAACTACAATAATTTGGGACGTAGGTGTAGATAACTTTGGTACAGTAGTTAGTAATTTTGCAGGAGTTCCTGTTTGTCCAGATTTTGGTGCTGCAATTACAATAGTCTGCTTTGCTAAGTTTGACAGAGCAGATGATGTAGTGATTGCACCAGATGTGGTTGGTTTTGCAACAGTAATTATATTTGTTGGCAAAGTTCGAAGAATCGTTGTTATTACTTTTTGTGTTTGTATAGAACCCTGTAATAACAAAGTAGTATTTATTAAATTCCAAAATTTATAACAGCTTAAAATAAAATAAATTATGAAAAATGATTAAAACAAATGAAATTCAATAAAACAGACTCACTTAATTGTAAAGTACATTTATTAAACAAATTACTGATTGTATAAATTAAACACACACACAAACAGAATTGAATTGAATCGAATCATCTTTTGTTTTAAGCCAATTTTTGCTGTAAGTCAATTTAAAAACAAGAAAATCCAATAAAAGTAATATGAAAAAAATAAGTTGTTAATGTAAATTTTTTGTTTTAAAAACTTAATTTACTGTAATTTTATAACAACAAAAACATTCTAAACAAAAGTAATGACTCAATCAAATAACAAAACGATAAAAAAGGAAATAAATAATAACAATTTAGGCTTCATTATCTGTACAAGGCAAAATATTTTTTACCATAACAGTTTTTTCTTTGCGGGAAAGCACTGGCTTCAAAATCTACAGCATTTCTACTTGGCACAGAATCAATATGGTTACAATGATCCTATTAATTCTGAGCCATTTGTCTTTTAGTACAGTCATTAAATTTGCATTGTTTGAGCAATTTTATTTACTTATGCAATGCCATTATTATTCCACATGTGTTCTATTACATTAAGATCTAAAGATTTCACACTTTTGTCTTTAAGCTATTCCTTAACAATCCAAAGAATACATTATCTTACTAGAATATTTGCCCTTGAAACATACTTTATTTTGCCTAGAATAAGATAACGTACTAGAAGATTCCCTTGCACTGAAATCATCTAATTTGCCTTTTAACCCAATAAATTATGCCATATGCAAAGAAACAATCTACACCATTACATTGCCACATGTAGCTGATACATAACATATGTAGATGTCCCGAAGAAAATATGCAATCATATGCTATTACTTCTAAAAAATTTGCTTTTGTAGAAAAAATAATTTCTGAAAAACAATTTGTTCAATGATTTTCAGAAAGTTCAGTGCAGTCTAGTCCACAGCATAATTCAAAAGTTCCAATAGACAGTACCAGGAGTTCATATTGGCAGTGACAAATGTCAGTCTTGCAAACAAATACCCAATAAGGATAAAGTTCCTATGGAAAATTTTTATAGTGTTTATGATCAGACAATATTGTGAATTGTTTCTTGCAACCAAAGATGACTGTAAAGATAAATCCTTCCAGATCCAATCAACATGGTATGATTACTGTTCTTGTTGATGAGAGATGTGGAACAACATCCATAAGAACTTTTCCACAAAATAAAATACTAAGTATTTACTAATTTCTTCAGTGCTTGTATAATTGTGTGCTTGCATCAATAAATGTATAAATGTTATATATATAAAACATTTATTGACATACAAACAAAAATCACATAAATCATATAAACAGCTGTTCCAAACATACACAATATACAAAATGCATGTACTGAAAAAAATTCATAAACACTCAAAACTCATTTATGAAATAAAGTGCATATGTGAAGAATGGATAAGATACTTATAATGCAGTCATTTCTTGGATGGTGTCAGATCAAATATGTTATAATTCCCATAATTCTAACTGGACTTTATTAAATTAACATATTTTGCACCTTTAATCTCCAGCAATTTATTGTTTTTAATGCTAATGTTTAAAGCAATAATTACTAACCAATTTTTGTTAAATTTAAAACTAATGAACCATGTTCTATTTTAGTTCAAGTAGTTGTAAAGGTACTAAAGCTTGACCTTTCCAAGATATTTTTTGGGGATATCTACAGATATGTATATATTATTTAGAAGATACAAAAGACAATCTCGAAGTTATGGCAATGAATTGCTGTGATGACAAAAAGACTGTTTTTAAACAAAATGAATTGAATATTAGAATTATTACTCATTCACATATAATAAATGTACTTCCAATGTCAAAAATAATTGTAACTGAAGAAAGGATTAAATACCAATTAGCTACATTAATTGACATTGGTTAAACGTCAACTATTGATAACCTAATAATATATCAACTTGGAGTGATTGTTTTAGGCTGTGCCAACTAATAGTGCAAGGACATTAATTCAAAAATTAAAATTTCTTTTTTAATTAAAATTATTTTTGAAAAAAAAAAAAAAAAAACATTATAAGTTAACTACAGATAGTTTGTGTAGCAGTTATGCTTGAAATTATTTTTGTTTCAGAATAAATATTTAACATATTAGATTATTAATGCCTTTAACTTAATGTGCCTTTCAAAACTGTGTAATGTTCAATTTCCAAATGAATAGTTTGTTGGTTGAACATTAACTTTAAGAGCCGTCGCAAACTATCGCTTTGCGAGAGCAAAATGCTAGCAAACATGCGCTAGCACAACCGATGATGTCGAAGGCTCTGCCCCTTTCTTCTTGCCCACGCTGTTTTTCCTTCGTTAGCGCAGCGATACAAGAGTACGCTCGCTGTTCACAGAATTCAACAACTAGAGCATTTATGCTAGCAAGAGAGAGTGGGGAAGTCGGATGACTACATAAACATGTTACATATCGAAAAAGAAATAATAGAATTTTATCAATGTACGTAAATTACATGATTAATACATTCAGTATTGAAAAGAAAATAGTATAACCGTTGTAAGTAAATAGTAATATACAGTATAAATAGTTTTCGGCTAGTTAAGCCTAGTTAGGCTTAACTAGTATACATGTTTTTTTGCGTGCTGTTTCAAAGTTCAGAACGAAAACTGACTGATTACAAGTATAGGTTATAATAAAATCTTGTTCTATAGCCAATCTACATCTGTGGAATCCATGTCATGTGGACTACGTTACGCGAGCAAACATTGTGTAGTTTCTGGCTGCTTCGTGCCAGCGTAGCTTACCTAGCAAAAATGGCTCATAGCATCATGAGAAAAAAGGCGGGGCTTAGGAGCGCGAGCGAGCATACGCTAGCTCCCGCATCCTGTAGTTTGCGGCAGCTCTAAGACTTTGGAACTAAGTTCTTTTTTGGAATTTGAGTTTTTGATTACATTTATGGATATCTGAGGATGGGAGTTAAATAAATCTGAAAACTTACTTAACACCCAACAAAAGACAAAAGTCTAGAAGCATTGTTTTCACAACTGTATATATATCACATTATTGAAAGCAGCAATACTAAACATACATATGCCAATTTAATCAGGAAATTCTTAAAGACACATAAATAAAATAATAGTTGTTCTGTAAATATGCCTTGACTTTTCTATGGCATAATTTGCAATTCCAATAAACTATAGAGGGCACTTTATAAATTTAAAATAGCAGATATAAAAATTGGGCATATAAGTTTACTTCAGCATTAAATGATGTCTTATGCATTGTTAATGTGGATACACTGTAAAAAAGTAAAAATAAAAAGAATGCAAATTATATTAATCACATTTTAAGAAAATAATTCAATTAATATAATTATTATTGAATCATGTTTGCAACCTTGTAAAATTGCTATTATTATTTATAAAAAACAATTCAACAATAATAATTCCAGATGTGTATTGCTGGGAGTTCAAAAAAATACAAGCATATTTGTACATAATCATTGGCTAATTTTAAACCCAAAATATTTTTACTGTATTTTAGTTTGAAAAATTAGTAATAATATGTTTAAATAATGGTATTTTAATTCAAGACTTGGGTTACATACATAAAGGTTACTTATGGACTATTGAAGGCCATTTCAGGAATTCATTACCTTATATAAAAGTTACTACTTCACATATAAGGCAGGGCAACTTTTTGAGCCTTTTCTTTAGACAAAAGTCATGTCTTATATGTTATAAAATATGTAAGTTTTCTGAGTATTTATACTAAATCTTAAGAATCATAATGCAGTAATTTCTTTCGCAAGTAAATTCAGTTCTAAATTATGCTTAATGAAAGTAAAAATGCACAGCTCAGAAGAAACTTTATTTCTCTAGAAAGAGAGGTATAAATTTTGGGTCATCTTGATAAAAGAGAGAAAATATCATATGTTGCAAAAAATTTTCATTTAAATTAAGAACAATCTGGAATCAAAGAAAAATGGAAAGAACATCAAAACTGTCATTGCTGCAGGATCCTATTTCTGAAAGTTTGACAGATTTTTGTTAGTTTTTGGAACATAATATCTTTTCTCTTACTGATATTTAGTTCTATATACATGATTTTACAGGAACTTTCATTTTAACTACCAAGTTATGTCTTTAGAAAGACAATTTCACATAACTTGGTAATTAAAATAATCTTGGGTTTCAATCTTTGAACAAATTGGTTGCACTGGTATTGAACTTTATTTTCAGAAAAGTTTTACATTTATTATGTATGTTAAACACAGTGCATAACAGATGTGCATTAATAAAATCTAACCACTTTATTTTTAAGATACAGGGCTAATTTAATATTAAATTTCTTTAGATATTTATTATATTTTTCAAAAAGGTTCCTTATGTAAGGAAACTGATTCTTTAGCCCTGGATCTTAAAAATAAAGTGGTAGATTCTGTTAATAAAATCAGTCACAAATAAGAAAAAACAGATAAATCAACCCTACTAGTAGTAATATATAGAATACCGTGCATATGAAACATCTAAAGTTTATATAAAAGAAACAAACAAAAAATTAAACATAAAAGTCAAGGAACATCTGGTTGCCATCTGTTTACAGTGTGCAGATTCGCCTTGGTCCCAATACATGAATGAATATCTTTGTAAAATCAGGCTTACATAATATTAAGGTTTTGCATAAAGAAGGAAATCAATAAAACATCAACAGAAAACATGGAGAAAACGCACCAACATTGGTTTTTAGAGGTTAGTTGAAGGAAATCAATTTAAATATAGATTTAAAGAGCATATTGAAATTTGGAGACAAGTAAATAATATAAATTTAAACAAAGGAATGCAAACAGAATCATGATGGTATGATGTCATACATAGTAAGTACAGAGTTGAGCAGCAAACCAGTGATAGTCTATCATTCACCTTGACCGCATTATGCTAGAACAGTGTTTCTCAACGTGTTTTTCCATGTTGAGGGGGGCGATTAGTAACAATTTATATTTTGTGGAAGCGAAAAACAATTTTCTGGTGATATAGTAAAACATTATATTAAGAATAATTAGATATTTTATTTGTTATATTGTACAATAATTAAACAAACAACATTATACTAGTCCAGGGGTGGCCAACAGTTTTTGCCCCCAGGCTGAATTGGAAAGAAAACTTTTTCCACGGACTGAACCTGAGGCTGTCCTAAGAAGATTTTGAGGTGGTGCGAGATCTCATTGTGATGTCACTCCATAGAGACTGAATTGTAGATAGAAATTACAGATACATTTTTCACATTATCATGCTTTATCAACACTCTACGCTGTACTTATGAGATTTGTAATGGAGGGTTAACTCTAAATGCACAGTGAGTTGACCTTTTTCTCTTTTTCTTTAGGCATCAGAATTTTTCATCAAGCTATTCAGACTTCAGTACCTAATATCGAAAGATTGATCGTGGGCCACATAAATTCATTAGATGGGCCAGATCTGGCCCGAGGGCCATGTGTTGGCCATGCCTGTACTAGTCACTAGTCTATTCAATGCAGTGCGAATTTGGCATTAATCTTGGCTCTTGGCATCGGAATTTTGAAGTAAAGGGGGCGATACTACATTGAAGGAGGCAACGATTCGTTAGAGGTTGAGAAACACTGTGCTAGAATGTCCATGACAGCAAACGTTCACTCAATAAGACTTATAACAGCGTAAGTATTTCATAACTGTTTTTTGTAACATGTAAAATACTTGTAAGCATCATAGTTTAACTCTGTCACAACACAAGTTATATTGGAACCTTATTTTAAAAAGTATTGTATGAATTTTTTCCTTATGATGATTCAAAATACATATATTACTATAATATGAATAAATTATATTACAAATATTTGTGCTGTTAATTTAGTAACTGCAATTCTACACAATTTAAATTTGGTTTAGAATATTGCACCAAAAAGTTTTTTGATTTATGAACCATAAAAGAAATAAGAGAATTACTCATACTCCAAATCTCAGTAAAATAATTAATGAAATTATATTGTTTATTAATTCTTTTGAATTAACAATTTTGTAATTAAATTTAACTTTAAATAATTTTATTCAAACTTTTATAGTAAATTATTTAAAACGTATTTTTATAGATAAAATTTTTAAAAATGTCTTTTATTTTAATTGATTACTTGACATAGATAATCAAATCAAACAAAAAAAAAAATTATTCAAAATATATTCATGTTTTCTGTGATAAAAATTTGCAATTTTTTTGATCCTGAGACACAGCACTAAAAAGAAAATAAGGAGTATTTATTTCATTTTTGTTTTTTAAAAATACTCATTAGTTATTCCTAAAATAATGAAAAAGTTGCATTCATCCAAATCTTGATGACACTATTCTTTCAAGACTTTTCTGAATTGATGAAATATTTTCCAGTAATTTTGAAAATAAATGCTAAAAATTGTTAAGAAAGAAATAAAAATAATAAATTAAGTAAAGGCAATTTGTTTCTATTAAATCAAAAATTTATATAAAAAATACAGTATTAGTTTTCATTAAAGTTAATAGTTCTCTAAATATTTCTTATATAAGTTCATAAACACTAATAGCACCTTAAAAATGTTTTTGATAGGCAAATGCATCTTTAGAAGGTAAGGATAATATCTATAAGCAATAATAAAAATAATAACCTGTTTATTTTCTTGAATAGCTTATTAACTTGATCAATAATATTTATTACTGTTGAATTTGTTGGTCAATTTGAAAGGTTTTGGTCAACATTTTTTGCTATAACATTTCTATTGATTTACTTTGAATAATATAGTTTTTTTCCATATTGTGTTAAGATTGATTCAAAAGAACTAACTTCTCTGATAACGAAAAACTGATTATATTTTGTTGTTCATTAATAATGAAAATATAAAATTAAGCTGACAGAATTATACTTCAATTATCAGTACAAAATCAAACTGATTTCAAATGTTAACATTTTTAGACTTGTTTAACAATATAGCAGACATGACGGCTTTGGAATCAAATTTTTACAAAATTATTAATTTTATATCCAAATTGCCTATACTTTTTGATCTGCTTTCTTATATAGATATATATAAATATAAAGTTTTAGTACCTGAGGAGATACAGATGAGATTCCAAGGATTGTGGGCTGTGTAGTATTTGTTTGAGAAGTTAATATAGCAGTTGGTTTTCCTCCAGTACCACCAGCTTGTGTTGTAACCAATTTCACTATGGTAGCACCTGGTATAGTTGATTTTGTCTAAAGAAAAAGTATCATCTGATATTTATACTAAAAAATTTATTAATTTATATAACAAAACAATGCTTAATCTACAATCCTAACTTTTACAAAAAACATAAATTTTTTAACATAGCTGTTTGAAATTCTAAATTTAAATGCAGTAACTATTTATTTATTTTTTGTTGATCATCTAATATGATATTACATATAAATTTAATTTACGATATTTGCTATGAGAAATTTTGAGCAAAATGCTTAATTTCAGCAATTTGCTTAAAAACAAAAACAAATCAGATTAAACATGAACATCAACAACATTTCAACACTGGGGTTAACTCAACACCTTGTCTGGAATCTGTTACCAGTGTGTTCTGTGAATAATAAAGTTTATCATTAACATTTTCAAACTGTTGAATAGATTAGAATAGAACAAATCAGACTGTTAAATAAGAAATAATTTTTTTATAATTTAGGAATCATAGTAAATTCACTGAATTAACTTTTCCTATTTACAAAGGAGAATAAAAGATATAATTTTTACTTTACTTGAATTTAATGATATCATTTATACAAATACATATGTGATTGAATACAAACATAACATAACAGTTGTTTTAATAATTCTGCTTTGATTTCAGTCCATTATAATAATTGATACTACTGTCAATCAAGAACAAAATGCCTTTTCAAAAATAAATATTAAAAATTAATTCAATACAGTAGAGCGTCAATTATCCGAAAGAATTTCAGTCGGCAAATTTAAATTTTCGCCAGTGCTGTGGCACTGCAATCTTTGGCTATGGCTTGGGCTACTCAAATATTTTACATTTTTGATACTAAATTAACTTCTGAAGTATAATTTTTTATTCTTTTTATATTTTTCAATATATTTATTTTGTTTGTATAAAATAAAAAAAAATAATTTTTAATGATACAATAGTCTTCATTAGGCATAACATCAACGAAAATTCAATGCAAAGTGACACGCAATGGAGAAAAATTTCCACTTGGGATAGATTAATATATTATTTCGTACATAATCGGTTATTCGAAATATCGATTTTCCGAACAACCCCAGTCCCCAATTGATTTGGATAATCGACGCTCTACTATATTTTGATTATTATAATAGTTTAATTATGATAAATACCATATTTATTCACATATAAGCCAAGACATTTATTCATTTTTCACTGCTTCAAATTCCTAGGTCGTCTTATACGTGCAAGTGAAAGACACTTTACCTTTTTGCAATAATTTTTGTGAATTGTATATTTGCATTTTTTACCGGATGCTGACCCTCTGGTGTTTAAAAACAAAAGTATTTTATCTGGGTCATTTGAATTGTTCTTGTGTATTGTCAGGAGTAAAGATGAATAGCAATAGGAAAAGCAAAGCTTTTGAATTGAATTCCAAATTGAAATTTAAAAATCACATGGGAGTCAGATATAAGTTATAATCCATTCCCATGTGAAAACAGATGACTATTTGGAAATCAAAATTCAGAGAACTTCATAAGTTTAATTGACGGAAAGTGGATTTGTCTGTTAAAAATTGGCAAAAAAAATTCCCGATTGTCCAGCTTTACATGAACAAATTATGCTGTCGATTTTACAAGATTTTTCCTTAAAGTTTAAAATGCCAGTAATTTTTGTAGGACAATGTATGCATTTACATGCATTTGATATTTTATTTGTAATTAAACAAAGTAAAATTAGAATTGTATTAATAAATCTAATTTTCTTTATTTTGATCTTTAAAGTCACACCTTGCCTATATGCCAGATCGTCTTATACACGAGTAAATATGGTAACAAATAACTAAAAAATCTTTGTAAATATATATTTTAATAACATTAGTAGAATTAGTATATATTATTATTATTATAATGACAAAACAAAAAAAATGAAGATAGTAAAACAATTTTATCTATAACTATATTTACTTTATATTTGCAATAATATTAGTTCTGAGAATTAGACGTGCTATTTCAATTACTCAATTACTATCTCAATATTTCTTGTTTTAATTACTTTGCATTATTATGTTGTTAACTAAGCATTTAATTTCACATACTAACAAAACTAACTGTAATTATCAATTTTTTGAGTCAAAAATATTTATAAATTGAACAACATTAAAACAAAAATCAGTTTTATTTTGTAAATAAAATAATTTTGTAAAAAATAAAAATTATAAAAAAAAAAATTTGAAAAATTCTAAATAAATTATGACATCACTTGTTCATATGAAAGAGTTGTAAAGTTGAACAAATACACTTTAATCAATCTGAACTTAGGATCCAATCAAAAAATAATTTTATCCAAAATTATATCACTCAAGTTATTCAAAAAATGATTAGTATTAACTAAAAGTTTTTGTTTGCTAGTTTATTTTCCTTTAATCAGATGAATGCTAATTCAATAAATAAATTAGTGTGTTAAAGTTAATTTTGTAATTAAATCTACAGGATAAAATAACAAACAGCTTTAAACAGTCTATTTCAGTGATTTTCAATAGGTATTCCATGAAAATTTTTGAAGATTATTAAATAAATTACTTTTGAAAGAAGCCCAAAGAATAATTAAGTGTATGTGTCAAAATTAAAACCTCTGAAAAACTTGTATTTAAATTGTTATAACAAATAAACGTATACATAATGTAGTAAAAATATACATTCATAAACAAAATTATATGTGCATAATTTCATCTAAAATGAAATTTTCTTTAAATCAAAAATGTATCTACAATTGTCTGCATTTAATTCAAATTATTTTAACTTAAACATAGTGGGATGTTGAGCAGAAGGCAATTTTCATGCCACTTTTAAATGAAAATTAAGACTTAATGTTAATTGGTTTTATGTAAATGAAAATTATTAATTTAACCTGTCCTACGTTGTTCCTGAAAATATTTGTATTGACCTGCATGGGCAATCCCGAATATTTTCATGTTTACATCGGAACATTTTTTATACTAGATGTCGCTATGCGTCACAATTTTTATATTAAAATGAACTTTTAAAATATAATTTTTTTTGTTTCTATATTATTCAATATATTTATTTTTGTGAAACATAAAAAAATAATTTTTTACGATACAGTAGACACGATTATTATTTAGAAAAAAAAAAATTTTTAGGCTTAACATCGACAAAAATTCAACATGGCGTTACAGGCAACAAATAAAAATTTCAACATTGAATAGGTTAAATAACTATTGTTGTAACCTGCTGCTATTTTAAGGAACAACAATACTGTTTTATTTAATTCACAAAAAATACAGTAGAGCGTCGATTTTCCGAATCAATTGGGGACTGGGGTTGTCCGGATAACTGATATTTCAGATAACTGATTTACGTACGAAAAAATAGTTTAACGTATCCGATTTCAAAATTTTTCTCTGTTGCGTGTCGCTTCGCGTTGAATTTTCGTCGATGTTAAGCCTAACAAAGACTATTGTATCGTTAAAAATTATTTTTTTATTTTGTACAAACAAAATAAATATATTGAAAAATATAAAAATAATAAAAAATTATACTTCAGATGTTAATTTAGTATCAAAAACATAAAATATTTGAGTAGCCCAAGACATTGCCAAAGATTGAAGCGCCACAGCACTGGTGAAAATTTAAATTTGCCGACTGGAATTCTTTCGGATGATTGACGTTTCGGATGATTGACTTTCGGAAATTCAACGCTCTACTGTATAGACAAAAAGACTTAGGTTAAGTGGCAAGTAATATGGCAATAGAATGTTTACAAACAACTTTAAAATCACATAATTTTCCCCATAAAAATTTAATTATAGGTTCAAGTGTGCTTGAGATAAAAAAAAAAAAGTTGAAAAACACTGGTCTATTTGCTAGTTTAATAGTTTTAACTTTTTTTCAAAATTCTAATGCAAGATATTTTATAATGCATTCACAAAAAAGTTATGCACCCAGATAGAATTGTCCAATTACTGCAAAACATACAAGCTACAGAATGCCTTATAATCACTACCACAGTGTCAAAAGGCTCACTGTTTTTGCAATTTTGAACATATATGTTGTTTGGAGATCTTGCTAGGCATGGCTATACAACACAATCAAAGATATTATGCATAGCTGACAAAGTTTGTGAAAAGCTCTATCATTGGCTCAGATAAGAAAGCAGGATGGCTCTTTCATTGAATTTCTCACCATCTGGGTTATTCTGACTTGACTATTAACAGGTACTGAGGGGAGTGCATATATCAAGACAAAAATACATGGTTAGGCAGGCTCTACACATCCCAAAAAGATTGTGATTGTAAGACAATGAAAAACTGCTGCAATGGAGTTTTTGAAAAGGAGTCACCTATAGAAAGTTGGAAGCCTCACTACAAAATCCCTTCTCTTTGATACTGACTGACAACTATTAGTAGCAAATTTGCATACATAGTGACCACTACGCATCCCATCATTATTATATTAACAATATTGGCTCAATTTGCAATGATATTATGACAGAGTCATGTACTGCTAAGGCCTGCAGCATATCATTTTTAGTAACAAATCCTAGTTCTGTTTGGCAATGGATATTCACATTGTTAAAATGTAGAGGACAACTGGCCTTTATTGTTGAGTGTGTCACTCAACAATAAAGCAAAATCAGTAGTAGGGGCAATGTGCTACAATGTACCAACTGCAGCAATAATTGGATTGGTCTGGAGAGCCATTTCATAAAATAGTTCTAATAACAATATAAGAAACACTGATGACACGGAGGTACATTTGGAAAATCTTGTGACCTCATGTTGCCATCATGGTAGAACTGCCAACAGATATTCTGCAACAAGAAAATGCTTGACCACACACAGATAAGATTTTTCAGGAATATCTCCATCAGATTTTACACTTCCTTGGCCTGCATAGTGTCCACATGTGTTACCCATCAATTATTTGAGGGACCAGATTGTACACAAATTTTAGACATGGATGTGCCTCCATGCCTGGACCATATACCACTACATGAATCCAGATGATGGCCTTATAAGATACTAAAGGTTCCTTTAAATTGATGCTGTATCACAGGATATTCTCCTTTTGCTATGATATTGTAATCATTTATTATCATCATCATCACATTCATATTAATAAAGTTTCATCCAATTCTAACACCACTTTGGTGCCCAATTTTCTATCAATAAATGTATAGTATTAGAAATAAATTTAACTGTCAATACTTGATTTAAAAAGCTAACATATTAATATACTAATTTTTTAAAGTTATAAAAAGATCTTATGTATAAACTTATTAACACAAATTCACTTACTTGTATTTGTTGTCCCTGAACTGTTCCAGATTTACCTTGAATTAAGCTAACTTTTGGTACCTATTCATTATTATGAAAAAAATAAAAACTTTGTTTAAAACAAATAAACATAGTTTGACATTGTTATAAAAGATAAATATAAATTATAAAATATTTATTTTATAGCAGATAATAATATAAACTATAAAATCAACACAAATAACATCAGTGTAACCTTACAGTCTTGATCAGGTCAATGAAATGCATATACTATCTGGATATTAATATTAATATTACAAAAGGAAACTAAAAAACTGAAATATATAGGAAATTATTTTACGTGTTTGAAGTGTAATGTATGTAAAATAAAGATCCTCTTTGGTACAAGTTAGAATGTTTCTGAATTTGGATACCGCTGGCCATTTTAATTTTGACACCACAAGTGCTGAATAGAGAAATGGGACAAGAAGACTTTAGCTTTCTATAAAATTCATATATAATGTTTTCAATCTTCAACCGATTGTGCTAGTTAATGATGACAAGAAAAAAGTTATTTTCTTTGTTTCATTAATATATGTCACAGGACATTGGAGAAGCAAGTTACTAAGAATGAAAAGGACTAACAATAATATACAAAATGTACAAACCAATTAAATTGTAAAACACAAGAGCACATAAGGGAATTTGTTTGTTCTTAATCTAATCAGATATATAAAACAATGAATAGAATTTAAGCAACAAGTTTTGTAATAATGACAAAGTAAATTTTCTGTACATTAGTTTGATAAATTTTCTGTACTAAACAGATTAAAGGACTAGAAGCATTAATTCATTTAATTTAATTTCATTAAAATTAGTCTATTGTGAATATAATCTATTAATAGGACTTATAATTGTTAGTAAAAAATTATAAATTTAATATCAGATAGATCTATCTTCATCTGATATTAAATTTAAAGAATTATTCTGCACCAAATAAAGAATTATTTAACTTATACAAGTAGAAAAGATATAACAGTAAAAGAAAGAGTGGTTTATTTATTAAATTGTAGTTGTCGAAATAATTTAACATATGTAGGAAAAACAAAAAGAAGATTGAAAATAAGAATAAAAGAACATATAAGATCAGTTCAGAAAAATTATGCAAATACAGTAGCACTTCACTGCAATGAAAAAGGATGTGAAATAGTAAGTAAAGAAAAAAGCATGCTTAAAAGAAAACTTTATGAACACAAATATAATAAAACAAGATGAAAATAAAATCAATGATAATAATGGAAAAAATTTAATTTGAAATAATTATATTTATAGAGGACATCGTAATAATAATGCTATTTTTATCTTTTAGCCTGATAAAAAAAATTAATCAGGCTAAAAGAAAAATTACAGAGGAAAAATACAACAATCTATTTGGTATTTTTCATTCAATAATTGGAAAAACTTGCAGACTTACGTATAAGTTAGGAAAAAGTTATCTGAAGTATTTTATGTATATAATTATAGTTTAAATTTTGCAATTAAAAAATTTTGTATTTTAGAAATGTAACTGATAAAACACCTGCTGATGAGGGATAAAAAGTTTGAAATACAAGAAAATATTGTATACAAGTGCAAATAAAAAAAGATTATTCTTTTGAACCAATAGACTAATTCAGTCTCTCTAATTTCATCTGCAGGTTAAATCAGTATAAGTCCCATTAATAGATTATAGTCAAACTAATATTAATAAACAGTTTATTAATAACAGTTTATTTATTATGATATCATATATATATTATATTCTGACATATATAAATACTTGTATGGAGAAAAAATTTAATAAAAATTGCCAGTTCAAATATAAAATAATATAAAAATTGAAAATGTCATTCATTTAAGAAACTTTTGAAAATAATGCTAATTTTATTTTTTGAATGTTGTAAGTATTTAACACACAAAATGATTTAGCCCATTTACTTTCACAGAGTGATTATAATTAGACTGACCCTATTCAGAACCTGATGGTGCTGGTTATAACAGACTTATGTTGATGAAACTTGGTATATAATGCTATTCACATCATGGAGAACAAATTTCAGAAAAACAAAAATTAGTTCAAATTTTCACCACTAGGCAAAAACAAGGGCATTTAGAACAACAACATAAGTCAGTAAAGCAAACATTAGTTTATACTATGTGTTCAATAAGCAAGCCATCTATGTCAATTACATGGTGGAAGCAAAATATGGCATGATTAATTATTGCATCAAGCTTTTTGATGGGAATATTGGTAATGCATGGCAGTACTTTTTTTTAAGATTTCACATTTATCAAAATTTCATTTCTAATATATATTAATTTTTTTTTTTGCTATTAAATTAACATAACCTTAAAAGAAAATCCTACATTTCACAATCATTGTAAATACTCACTGTAGCAACTGTTACTCCTTGACTTGTCTTAACTAAAGTTACAATTTGTGGTTGATTAGATGTTGAACCTGTCTTTCTCACAGTAATAATTTGTTTTCCAGGTGATCCACTCATTCCTCCTGCAGCATTAATCAGTGTTGCTGGATTACTTACACGCAATGTTTGAGTTCCTGTTGCTCCACCTATTACAAAATTATTTGTTATTTAAATTTTGATATAAATAACAGAAAATTACAGGGTTTTATTTTTACAGAAAAATATTTTTAAAATTATAATGACCAAATTAATAAATCTGCAATTATGTTTAGAGGAATTTGCAGGAACATGAACAATCTAATACAAGAGGATATACAAGATTCCTCTAACATAAAAATCAACTATGCAGAAGAAAGAAAAAGAAACACAATGAAAATTGTTGCTGGAAACATTTACTTAATTTGATGGAATGATAATAGTATCGTACAGTACAATCAAAGAATATTATGAAAAATTACACTGTTGATTACAAGACAAATTAAATGTCCATTACAAAAAATCCATTGAGATTATTTAGATAATCTTAACAAATTTTTTGTATCAAATATTTAATTTGTCTTACTGTGAAAATGGAAAAAAGCAAGTTACACTTCTAACGCTTGTTTCTTTTCGTCTATCAAAAAGACAAAAATGCTGTATAAACAATAAAAGAAATATGTGACGTTTATGGTGAGGGTGCTGTAGCAGAGTCAACTGATTGAAAGTGGTTTGCTAAATTTAAAGTGAGCAATTTTAACCTTGAAGATGCTCCATGCTCAGGAAGACTGGCCATTATTGAAGAAGACTGTATCAAAACATTATGGGATTACAATCCTCCTTACACAACTTGAGAAATAGCTGACACAATGAAGTCATCAAACAGTACTATATATCAACATCTGTAGAAGCTTGGATATGTGAATTGTTAGGACATTTGCATACATAATTGCATTTGCCTCACAACTTAACAGAAAAGAACTTACTGGATCACATGTCCATTTTGCAAATAGGAATGAGATCCAGTACATGAATGAAAGCCTTTAAAAATGAACCTTTTCTGAAATGTCTAATGACAGGTGATGAAAAGTGGATTTTTATAACATCAGCCGAAAAAGATCATGGAAAAAGAAAAACAAACTGTCATTAAAAACACCGGAGACCGGTCTTCATCCAAAGAGCATGCTCACCATTTAGTGGGATTGGAAAGGAATTCTGTACCACAAGCTGCTTCCACAGAACCAAACAATCAATTCTGATAAGTATTGTTCCCAACTACATCAACTGTAGAAAAATATCTAAAGTTGACCAACAGAAAAGACATTGTGTTTCATTAAGATAATGCCAGAATACACACTTATTTACAAACACTCCAAAAATTATTGGAACTAGGCTGGAACATTTTACCCCTCTACATACTCATCTGGCTTGCCCTCTTGGACTATCATTTGTTCTGGGCTCTGCAGAGTTCCCTCATGATAAAAACTGATAATTCAGAAGCATGCAAAACCACATGGAACAGTTTTTTGCAGGAAGAAATATGAAGTTCTATGAAGAAAGTATTATAAAGCTTTCCTGTAGACAGTAACACATCATAAAAAACAACAGTGCATACATAATTGAATAAAAAAATATTTTTAGTTTTGAAACCATTTATTTTATTTCTCTTAAAAATTGCTATGAATTTCCTGAACAACCAAATAAATGTCTTGTTATTCAATGAAATTGAAAATGTTGTTGCTCAATGAAATTTTTTCACAAGTATGTTAGTAATGCACTTTCAGATAAGACTATTCATTAATGTTGAAACATTTTAAAAAGACCTGGAGCATTTTAAAAATAAAGCCATCTGGGAAGTCATGCATATCAGAAGATAAAGTGAAAGGAATCAGAATTTTCTGATCTTAAAATACATCAAGTCATTAGCATGATACAGTTTGGATTTACATTCCTAAATCTCTATACCCAAAAGGACCTGCTCCACCTCAGTAAATGTGTTTCTGTGGCTTTAGATAGCAGATTTCCTAACAGGTAAATTGAAAGAAGTGGACTCTTTTCAAACTGCACTTTCAAAAATAACTACACTTTACCAACCTTTAACATGCAGTCTATTTTATTAACGTAATCTAATGATTTTGGTCAAATTAATTGACCTTCATCAGGATCGAACAATTTTTCGATTTATGACAAACGAAACCAATTATAGAATGTTTTTAACTTTAAAAGTTTTCTCAATGCCCTATTGCGCAAGATGACATACAACAGTACAGTATGTCAGAGACGTTAACGATAACAAGTATGGCCTAGAGCTCGAGGTAGAACAACAGAACGATCAAACGATACACTTCCTAGATATATCAATAGAAGTGGAAAAAGAAGGGAAAAACAATATTAAAGTTTATAGAAAGCTGACTTATAATCCGTTACTAATACCATGAACCTCTCATAACCCAGCAAGTTATAAACTAGCAGCTTTCAGGGAACTTATAAAAAGAGTGTACACACACACTGCAGCAAAGTGCAGGACATAATTAGAATACATCAAAGAACTAGCATGACATGTCAGAGTCAATCAGAATAAAGTAAAGCCCTAATAAATAAAACAAGAAAAGATGATAATGAAAGAGGAAGAGTAGAAAAATACACAGTAATGAAATACATGGCACCCTTAACCAATATTTACAAAGAATAGGAGCAACTACTAACAAAAAGATAATCCTTAAAAGGAATCCAACAGTATACCAGATGCTACATATGGACAAGGAACCTATAGACTAGAGCCTTATACCTGAAATTTACAGAATACCCGTACAAGATGAAAGGCAGCAAAAAAAAACTGTACTACATTGCAGCTACAAGGAGGACATTAAAAGAATAAAAGAGCACAAAAGGAATGTACAGAATGAGCAACCAGTCACAGCTTTAGCAACATATGTTATAGCAGATCCAACAGAGGTTACAGTGAAATGGGAAAGAGTAGAAATAATACATAAGGTGCAGGACAGGAGACATAGTAATTAAATATGCAGAAGCCTGGCATATTCAGAAGAGCAGTCTAGCAGGACAGGCTGTAAACTTCAGAGAATCATGAAGTCTACACAGCATGGAGAGCAGGTGCATTATGAACATACCAGCAAAAGAAAAAAGCACAAACATGTAAAAGATAGGCTTTAGTCGATGCCCGTTATATCATCACTTGTTTATTTATATAATCATTTATCTATTTCTTTATTATTATTAATTTTTATTTTTACTTTTATTTTTATGTGTATAGCTAGGGTATGCATATATTTGTACATTTTCAGTCTGTAGTTTCTATTTATCTATTTTCAGACTTGCACAATAGGTGTTGAGAAAACTTTTAAAGTTTAAAACATTCTATAATTGGTTTTGTTCATCATAAATGGAAAAATTGTTCAATCCTGATGAAGGTCAATTAATTTGACTGAAAACATTAGATTACGTTAATAAAATAGACTGCATGTTAAAGGTTGGTAAAGTGTAGTTAGAAGAAGTGGTATGATTGAATGGGCCATCTCAGAGTCCAAACCTAATACCACTTGACTTTTATGTAGGGAAACTTAAAGAGCACAGAATATACAGAGAAATTACATTCCTAAACCTCTATACCTAAAAGGGTATATAGGTTTAGTGTTTAATTCTGTAGTCTTGACTATCTGTGTGAGAGAATAACCAATGCCATTGCAATTATCATGCTCAACATGCTGGTGCAGATGTGGGGGAAAAAACTATCACCCAAATGTCTGCAGGGTCACAAAGAAAGAACATATCAAAAATGTACTAAATTAAAAAAAAAAATGAAGATATGTTTTAATTTCATCTTGTATTCAAGTGAAATTTCTTATATATCATTTATTAAATTGTGTATGAAACCATGGCATTATTTTGTGAAGATCCTATATTTTTTAAAATTGAAAATGGAATTTTCATTGTTCAAAATAAATTTTTCTAATTTTAAATTTCTTGCTTTAAGTTTATTTTACCTTGAATGGGAACAGAACTTATTTTCATTCCAGGTTGTGCAATAACAGAGGGAGTAACTACTCTTATATTAGTTGTCCCTGAGGTTGCAGAACTTGCTGCTGTAGCAGTTGTAATTTTCTGTGTAGCTGCAGCTGCAGCTGCTAAAGCTGCCATTCCACTCATACCTGTTGTAGTATTGACAGCTGTTGTTACCTAAATTAATAGTTAACAATAATTAAAAACCAATGTAATTTCAATTAAAAATAAAAAAATTTAATATATTTAAACATTTACTGTTAAATTTAGTAAAATCTATTATGAAAAAGATATTCATTCAAATTATTAAATTTTGTTACACAGTGAAATCCCACTGTACTTTGATACATAAAAATTTAATACAACAAATTATTTTAACTTAGCCTTTTCCAAATTTATGAGATAAAATACTCAATATGACAATCACCAATTGATACATGTGAAAATATCAATAAATATCCTAATAACAAGTACTATACAATTAAAATCCCCGTGTACTCCAATTAAATGAATCTCCACTTCATTCAAGATTCAAATCTCCATTTTCTTTTTTTCATTCACACTGTTTACTCATTTGTTAGAGATGTTTTTGTTCTAACATCAGAAAGTGCAGTTTAATAAACTTTAAATGAATTTCTTACTGAATTCCAGTGACTTATATTCATTATGATGATAAAGCTGATCTAAAACAGGACAAAAATGTCTTTGTGGTAAATTTAAACAGTTAGTTACTTGAGATTAATTATTTAATACTGATAATATCTAAATTTTTATTACTTTTCAATACAGAATAAAAAAATTTTAATTACTTTATGTAAAACTTACAATTTTACATGAAAACATATTAAAGAGTTATATAATAATAAATCAATTTTCAAATTAAATTTTGAAAAACTAATTAAATTAAATATTCATGTTAAAGTAATAGGACACAACAAAAAATTCATTGTAATCACATGTGATTAATTTCTAACAATTATATATGATCAATAAAAAAATTTTGACATTTATAGTACAGTAAGACCTTAATTTTTATACTTACATTTCCACCTAAAGTAGCAGCAACAGTTCTTACTACTTGAGTTCCAGTAGGTGTGGCTGCAACAACACGAATTTGTTGTCCAGTTACAGGTGTCTGTCCCCTTGATTTTACTACTGTCACTGTACCAGCTATGTTTAAAATGTATTATATAGAAACAAAAATATTTTAATCAAGAAACATTAGTTACAAAAGGATAAAATATAAAAGTATGTTTTTTTCATTTATTTATACAATACAATAAATTTATAAAATTTTGAAACAAAGTAGTAAATTCTACTAATTGTAACCATTTTGGAACTCATCTACACTGATGATAACTAATCAACATCAAGTGAAAATGTAAATAAGATCCTGATTTAGAAATGTATTAATTTGTACTTTGTAGATACAATTTGGTTCTTTACTTTCCATTGTTTATTTTATATTTTAAGTATACATTTAGCCTGTGAGCAGAAATCTGGACACCACTTCCAGTACCAAGTTTGCCTGGTACTATACAGTACTTGAAAAGTGCAATCGGTATCTGAGTGGATAATGAAGTAAGAGTGAATTTGGGTGTTTACCAATTAGAAAATTCATTTAATGGATTTCAAAATAAGGTCATCACTCTTGTATGTATTATCCTTGTTATTGTAATAGGTTCACATCTCATTTACTTTGGCAGCTTTTGCTGCAGATGATCAAGTTCATCTATATTAATACACTTCATACAACACTCCAGCAAGATCAACCTAATAAGCACATGGAAAAACTGGATATATATAAAGCCTTCAGGAAAGACACAGCCATTAGTTACAAGGACAATAACACTCTTTCATAAGCTTAGAGATCTTATTTTGAAATCCTCTAAATGAATTAGAAAATTCTTTTGGAAGATTTCAAAATAAGATCTCTATGCTTATGAAAATGCTTATGCTTATTTCTAATTGGTACTAGAAAAATTACACCTAAATTTTGCAATAGTATATTTAAAAATTTGCCTTACTATTTTGCATCTTCTCTAAAAATGTGAACATTGAAATAACAGTTTAAAAGTTTAAAACAGAAGAAAATGTTTGTTTTGTTGAAATATATTCATTTTTGTTGGTTTTTTGATGTTTAGAAGTATTTAATACTATTTACTGAAAGAACAAATATTAGATTCACAGATATTCTAAATATAGTAAACTGTTTATCATCATCACAGATATTTATTATGCTTTGGAGCTTTCTAATTTTAATAACTTATAAAAATTTGCTTATTGTGATTAGAATTCAGTTATTTTTATCATCTTTAGATGTACAGGCAGCATTAGTTAAGGATAAAAGTTTACCATGGTAGTCCCAATGGCTGCTCTTCTGGAATCTCAACAGCAGGTGTGATTTAAAATCTGATCTAGACGACACTGATCATACTGACATATCAGTATGCAAATCAGAGTCCAACTCCCCCTCAGAAAAGAAGAAGAATTATACAAATTTTTGAGTTCCAGTTTAATGTTAACAGAAGTTGCAGGTTGTATTATTATGACAGCATTAATATTATTTGAAAGTTTGTATTTTTATTTTATTTTTTTGTTTTAAGTTAAATATTAACAAAAGTATGAATATTTATTTTTCATTTAACAAATTAATGTCAGAAGGAGTGAAATTGTCGTCTGATGACTTTTGAAAAAATTGCAATTCTAGAATTTTCTTTTGCCTGTTAGAATCCAAAATTGCTGATTTAGACATCAATAAAAGAATGCCTTCAGATATTAAATTAGCCGTTCAACTTGGTTTGCAACACATAGATGAAATTTGTACTAATTGCTCGTTCTGCTGGAAATTAATTTATAGAAAAGATCATAATTCCATAGCATTAAGATGTAACCATTGTAAAATGAATAGTTCGGCATTCAAAGAAACATTCAAAGGAAAATTCAGGAATATGTCTTGGGGGCACATATTTTCTTTTATTTGGCATTAGGTTAGGTTAAGTTGGTTTAAGAAACCTGGAGAATGTTTTCAGTTATTTGTTAAACATTTGGTTATATCCAGGATCAGGTAAAACTCCAAAATGAAAAGAACCAGAAAGGGTACCTACTGCCTCTAAACCCAGCAAAGAGGAAAAAAAAAAAAAAAAAAAGGAAACGTCTACTAAAAACATAGTCAAATTGTCAAATAAGAAAAAGAAAGATTCTAAAACAGAAGTTGAATCAAGTTGTCAAATATATTATAGTTTAAAAAAGGAATTAAAAATAGGCATGTATTTGTAAGTTCGGTGATCATCATCTTGTTTGCACATTTCATTCACAAACAAGATGGTGACTGGAAGCACGGCCATTGGGACTACCAAGGTAAACTTTAATCTAGTTAAGTGCTCTTTTAATGTTATTTGCTTGTAATGCTATATTGTAAGTCTAAATTGCTGGTATTTCTTACTTCAATTATATGCTAATTCTTGTTAAACGTAGAAGCAAGCAAACAATAATGGTTTAATTACAAATTAATAACATGCTCTTTTAAAAACAGAATGAATAAAATTAAAATTTCTATTAAGTGCAGACTTATTCACTTACTCCATTTAATGTTATAAATTTACTGCAGATGGGTCTAAAGAAATTACAATAAGATCTGTTGCACTAATAAATTTTATATTGTACAAAAATAAAGTTATCAATAGCAAGCCAAATAAAATATATTAAGTGACCATTACTGTATGTAAATCCATATTTGGAATCCATTAGCAATATTTGGAAAATATAACAAATTAAATAATGAAAAACTACTCTACAATAACACTGTTATTTTACATATAAAATAAATTACAAACCTCTTGGCCCACATACAGCACTAACTGGCATTCTCATTGGAGACTGGGTAACAGCAACTAAAATTGAAAAGGAAAACTTATAACATTAAAATTAATAAGTTAATCATAACTATAATGAAATATATTTGAAAAAATCAGGATAAAAATGGTATATTCCACTCAAGCATTGTTTTGAAAAAATGCATTTGATAAATTTTAAATAAAACTTAACCTTAAGTGTTTTGCTTTTATGGAAATATATGCTGTGAAAATATGTACAAAAGAAACTAGGACACTGATTATATTACAAAATAGAATATACTTATTATATGTATATTAGTAAAAAAGATAACACTAACTAAAAATGATGTGGCATTATATAAATTGTAATCCTCTTCAACAACTATCTTCACTTCATATATCCATGAATTACTAACTCATACTTCATATTTTTACATATATCACGATAAACAAATAGGATAATTTGAACATATTTTGTAAGTAATTAAAATAAACATACTTAATTTAAGTGAGTCAATTTTTTTACAATTTGTTTTGCTCATTATGCGAGTTTCCACTGTATTTACATTTTCAATATACTGTACTGTATTTCAAAAAACTGGATACTTAATTATATAACACTCACCAAATAAACCATTACCAGTTCATAACTAAACAGAAAAATTCTTTCTACGAACGTTTTCATCTATATATAATAGACATCCTCAGGTATTGATGATATCGAACTAACGGCTATTAGAATAGAATGTTTTTGAAAGTTCTGTTTAACTACATAATTCAAATACATTGCGTTAAAATTGAAAATATGTAAAATATTTAAAATATATCCGAATAAATAATTGATTTCACGTAGATCATGATGTAAATATCCTCCGTAATTTAAAATATCTCTGATGCACGTTTCAATCATTGGGATCTAATACAAATATGGCGTGCCATGCTGCGGAAAGCGTATCGGTTTCTGAAATTAATACCAACCCCTTTTTTAAGACGTAAGACCCCATACGATGTACTCATCGTATGGAACAAGGTACCTAACATTGATTTGGTACTTAACTATTTTAACGCTAACCCCTATGGCCTGACGTTGAAAGTTGAACAGGAGAGTCAGACAACAGTACATTTTTTGGATATTACCATCAAAATGGAGCAAGGTCATCTTTCCACCTGTGTGTTCCATAAAGGAGTCATATACACCTATATTTATACATAACTGCAACGTATTCAAATTATGTAGTTAAACGGAACTTTCAAAAACATTCTATTCTAATAGCTGTTAGTTCGATATTGTCAATACCTGATGATGTCTATTACATATAGATGAAAACATTCGTAAAAAGAATTTTTCTGCTTGGTTGTGAACTGGTAATGGTTTATTTGGTGAGTGTTATGTATTTATATTTAGTAATATAGTTGACTCACCTTAAAACAAACACTGATAAAGCAAATTCTCACGTTAAAATGACTTTTGATGTTGTCATGGAGAAATGCCATTGTCACAACATTAACTTTCTTGCACCCAAAAAGTTTACCAGAATTCATTAAACCAAACTGTAATTTACCTTCACAACCCCGAAGCAATAAACCTATTTCTAATAATAGTTGCTTTTTACACTTTTTGATGTAAACAATAAAAAGTGGCAGTGTAACAAGTGTTCCAATGTAGAATAGAATCAGAAGAATAGAATTTCAGTAGAATAGATTTTATTCTCCTGAAAGTAAAAATGGGTTTGATCTCTAATTATACAGCAATTCAAACATTTCATTTCTGCAGACCATTCTATTTTATTTAGAAAAGAGAGGTTAAAGCTTAAAGACATCCACCCCCTCAAATAGATACAGTCCCATGCAAACGTGCTAGTTTATGTATCANTTTACATTTCTGCTTTACAGTAAGTAGTATTTGGATCGTTACAAGTCATTTATTACTTTCTAATTTATAGATTCATTTCGCGGTAAACATTTATATTATAACTAGAGTTTCGTATAAATTTATTAAAATCGTTTTCTTTATTTTTATTCCGTTACAAGTTTAAAATGTTAATTTTAAACATATAGTTAAGTTATATATATATATATATATATAGTTAATAATGTTAAATATAAACAATAATCTATAAATTCAAATTATTAATAAATTTTCTATAAAATTTTTTACCTGTTGGAACTGAGCCCCAACAGACATCTAATGTGGTTGTTGAAGCACGTACAAGTTGAACTCGAGAAGGTGCAATTGGTTTTTCTGTTTCCAAATACCATAAATCCTTACAACACACCTGCAAAATTTAGTTATGAAACAATTTAGACAACTTTAAAATATTTTAAATTAGTAAAATCTAACAAAATCAATGCATACTATAAAATTTAGAATTGTTAATGAGATAAAAAAAAATTTATAGTAAAAATATAATTAATTATGTGGCAAAGCTAAGTCAATTCATATGATAAATGTTTACCTTTTTATCAAGTCATAGAAAATTTTGCAAATACTCAATCCATTAAAAAAAAAAAAAACACAATTATAAGTGAATAAATATTAATGTTAAATAATGAGAAAATTTTTTGTACCCATATAAACTTTTTATTGAACTAAAAATAGACAAATATGAAATATTTTAATCAATTTTTCAAAAAATTAAATTTATTATAGTTGAATCTTTTTCCACAAAAACAACTTGATATTAGTTAAGTCAGACTAACCAAAATTCTGTAAAAATTTATCTTAATAAGAAAAAAAATTTTCTTTGCATTGTTTTGCTTTAAAATTTAATATTTTACGTTTTTGATACTAAATTAACTTCTAAAGTATAATTTTTTATTGTTTTTATATTTTTCAATACATTTATTTTGTTCGTACAAAATAAAAAAAAAAATTTTTAACAATACAATAGTCTTTGTTAGGCTTAACATCGACGAAAATTCAGCACGAAGCGACACGCAACGGAGAAAAATGTCAAGATGGGATAAACTAATATATTATTTCGTACATAATCAGTTATCCGAAACATCGATCTTCCGAACAACCCCAGTCTCAAATTGATTTGGATAATCAACGCTCTACTGTATATACTTTTAATTTCTCTTGATATTAATACTTAACAGTATTCATAAAATTCACAAAATTTTAATCTACATCTATAACAATAGGTTCAAGTTCATTTTATAAAAAATAATATGCAAAATATTTAGAAATATGTAGGTTACAAAATAAATTAGGAATGCAATATAAAATTTTCTCATTTACAATACAGTATATATTGGAGGAAATATTGTAATTATGCAATGACCAATCTTTTAATTCAGCTGAATAGTCAAAATCTTCAGAGTACAATTATTTTATTGAATTTAAAACTATTATATCTATACTAATATTATAAAGAGGTAATGTTTGTAAGTTTGGATGTAGCGGGTAATCTCCAAAACTACTCATCCGATTTCAAAAATTCTTTCACCAATATTTAGAATGGAACTTCAGGGTGGACGTAGGCTGTATATTATTCCGTTAAACATTCATAAAAATTAAAAGATATCATCTAGGTTAAGGCTTTTATGTCCAACAGATGGCGCTACAGTTTGCTTTTCTGTGAAAATGAACTAAAGCAGATCATCTTCTATCTGTCTATATAAATAAAAATGTAATGTTCATTTGTTCCTACCGATTCCTTTGAAATTTTGACACAACGCTGCATTCGAATACGCATGTGTTTTTATATAATATACGTGTCGAAATTCTCCCCACTGGGGGAGAGGGACAGGATTAAGGCTTACCATAAAGAACTCTGCTTCTATTTATACTATTTTAAATGCAGTTTTTTGCGTTTTTGATTGCGTTTAAATAGGGTACGTCAACAGAATATACACTAAAAAGGGATTTTTCGATATTCCCCCCGCAGGGAGAGGGACAAGATTAAGGCTTACTGTAAAGAACTCGGCTTCTATTATACTATTTTAGATGTGTTTTTGATTGCGTTTTAATAGGGTCAAGAGAATGTACACTAAGAGGAGATTTTTCGAAAAATTCCCCCTTCCATGGGGGAAGTGTTATACATTTGTAATAAATTCATTTTGAGCCACAACAACGCGTGGCAGGGTCTGCTAGTTACTTTATAAAGTCAACACACCTTAATACTGAGAAAGCTTATTTATTCTGCAGAACAAACATTTTCAACCCATTCCATGGGCTATCATCAGGTTAAAGACATTCGAATCAATAGCTTTTCGAATAACATGTTCAAATTTAAAATTATATTATAACACATGCTGTATATTGAAATTGAATTAACCCCTTAATGACCATCTGTAATTAATTATGATGTAATTAAGCATAAAAAATACATTAAAAAAAATACTTAAAACTGAAAAAAACGAAAGAAATGCGTTGATTTTGAAGAAAAAGCTTCAAATTTTATTTTCCTTTGTCTCGCCTTTCTGTGAAATTTAACACCAATGAGTCATTGTTTACACAGCTGGATGACCTTGAACACAAATGGAGTTGGATTTCCCGGGGCATTCTCATATACGTCTCAGGAGGACAAGGGTTTAAAGNTTTATGTGTATAGCTAGGGTATGCATATATTTGTACATTTTCAGTCTGTAGTTTCTATTTATCTATTTTCAGACTTGCACAATAGGTGTTGAGAAAACTTTTAAAGTTTAAAACATTCTATAATTGGTTTTGTTCATCATAAATGGAAAAATTGTTCAATCCTGATGAAGGTCAATTAATTTGACTGAAAACATTAGATTACGTTAATAAAATAGACTGCATGTTAAAGGTTGGTAAAGTGTAGTTAGAAGAAGTGGTATGATTGAATGGGCCATCTCAGAGTCCAAACCTAATACCACTTGACTTTTATGTAGGGAAACTTAAAGAGCACAGAATATACAGAGAAATTACATTCCTAAACCTCTATACCTAAAAGGGTATATAGGTTTAGTGTTTAATTCTGTAGTCTTGACTATCTGTGTGAGAGAATAACCAATGCCATTGCAATTATCATGCTCAACATGCTGGTGCAGATGTGGGGGAAAAAACTATCACCCAAATGTCTGCAGGGTCACAAAGAAAGAACATATCAAAAATGTACTAAATTAAAAAAAAAAATGAAGATATGTTTTAATTTCATCTTGTATTCAAGTGAAATTTCTTATATATCATTTATTAAATTGTGTATGAAACCATGGCATTATTTTGTGAAGATCCTATATTTTTTAAAATTGAAAATGGAATTTTCATTGTTCAAAATAAATTTTTCTAATTTTAAATTTCTTGCTTTAAGTTTATTTTACCTTGAATGGGAACAGAACTTATTTTCATTCCAGGTTGTGCAATAACAGAGGGAGTAACTACTCTTATATTAGTTGTCCCTGAGGTTGCAGAACTTGCTGCTGTAGCAGTTGTAATTTTCTGTGTAGCTGCAGCTGCAGCTGCTAAAGCTGCCATTCCACTCATACCTGTTGTAGTATTGACAGCTGTTGTTACCTAAATTAATAGTTAACAATAATTAAAAACCAATGTAATTTCAATTAAAAATAAAAAAATTTAATATATTTAAACATTTACTGTTAAATTTAGTAAAATCTATTATGAAAAAGATATTCATTCAAATTATTAAATTTTGTTACACAGTGAAATCCCACTGTACTTTGATACATAAAAATTTAATACAACAAATTATTTTAACTTAGCCTTTTCCAAATTTATGAGATAAAATACTCAATATGACAATCACCAATTGATACATGTGAAAATATCAATAAATATCCTAATAACAAGTACTATACAATTAAAATCCCCGTGTACTCCAATTAAATGAATCTCCACTTCATTCAAGATTCAAATCTCCATTTTCTTTTTTTCATTCACACTGTTTACTCATTTGTTAGAGATGTTTTTGTTCTAACATCAGAAAGTGCAGTTTAATAAACTTTAAATGAATTTCTTACTGAATTCCAGTGACTTATATTCATTATGATGATAAAGCTGATCTAAAACAGGACAAAAATGTCTTTGTGGTAAATTTAAACAGTTAGTTACTTGAGATTAATTATTTAATACTGATAATATCTAAATTTTTATTACTTTTCAATACAGAATAAAAAAATTTTAATTACTTTATGTAAAACTTACAATTTTACATGAAAACATATTAAAGAGTTATATAATAATAAATCAATTTTCAAATTAAATTTTGAAAAACTAATTAAATTAAATATTCATGTTAAAGTAATAGGACACAACAAAAAATTCATTGTAATCACATGTGATTAATTTCTAACAATTATATATGATCAATAAAAAAATTTTGACATTTATAGTACAGTAAGACCTTAATTTTTATACTTACATTTCCACCTAAAGTAGCAGCAACAGTTCTTACTACTTGAGTTCCAGTAGGTGTGGCTGCAACAACACGAATTTGTTGTCCAGTTACAGGTGTCTGTCCCCTTGATTTTACTACTGTCACTGTACCAGCTATGTTTAAAATGTATTATATAGAAACAAAAATATTTTAATCAAGAAACATTAGTTACAAAAGGATAAAATATAAAAGTATGTTTTTTTCATTTATTTATACAATACAATAAATTTATAAAATTTTGAAACAAAGTAGTAAATTCTACTAATTGTAACCATTTTGGAACTCATCTACACTGATGATAACTAATCAACATCAAGTGAAAATGTAAATAAGATCCTGATTTAGAAATGTATTAATTTGTACTTTGTAGATACAATTTGGTTCTTTACTTTCCATTGTTTATTTTATATTTTAAGTATACATTTAGCCTGTGAGCAGAAATCTGGACACCACTTCCAGTACCAAGTTTGCCTGGTACTATACAGTACTTGAAAAGTGCAATCGGTATCTGAGTGGATAATGAAGTAAGAGTGAATTTGGGTGTTTACCAATTAGAAAATTCATTTAATGGATTTCAAAATAAGGTCATCACTCTTGTATGTATTATCCTTGTTATTGTAATAGGTTCACATCTCATTTACTTTGGCAGCTTTTGCTGCAGATGATCAAGTTCATCTATATTAATACACTTCATACAACACTCCAGCAAGATCAACCTAATAAGCACATGGAAAAACTGGATATATATAAAGCCTTCAGGAAAGACACAGCCATTAGTTACAAGGACAATAACACTCTTTCATAAGCTTAGAGATCTTATTTTGAAATCCTCTAAATGAATTAGAAAATTCTTTTGGAAGATTTCAAAATAAGATCTCTATGCTTATGAAAATGCTTATGCTTATTTCTAATTGGTACTAGAAAAATTACACCTAAATTTTGCAATAGTATATTTAAAAATTTGCCTTACTATTTTGCATCTTCTCTAAAAATGTGAACATTGAAATAACAGTTTAAAAGTTTAAAACAGAAGAAAATGTTTGTTTTGTTGAAATATATTCATTTTTGTTGGTTTTTTGATGTTTAGAAGTATTTAATACTATTTACTGAAAGAACAAATATTAGATTCACAGATATTCTAAATATAGTAAACTGTTTATCATCATCACAGATATTTATTATGCTTTGGAGCTTTCTAATTTTAATAACTTATAAAAATTTGCTTATTGTGATTAGAATTCAGTTATTTTTATCATCTTTAGATGTACAGGCAGCATTAGTTAAGGATAAAAGTTTACCATGGTAGTCCCAATGGCTGCTCTTCTGGAATCTCAACAGCAGGTGTGATTTAAAATCTGATCTAGACGACACTGATCATACTGACATATCAGTATGCAAATCAGAGTCCAACTCCCCCTCAGAAAAGAAGAAGAATTATACAAATTTTTGAGTTCCAGTTTAATGTTAACAGAAGTTGCAGGTTGTATTATTATGACAGCATTAATATTATTTGAAAGTTTGTATTTTTATTTTATTTTTTTGTTTTAAGTTAAATATTAACAAAAGTATGAATATTTATTTTTCATTTAACAAATTAATGTCAGAAGGAGTGAAATTGTCGTCTGATGACTTTTGAAAAAATTGCAATTCTAGAATTTTCTTTTGCCTGTTAGAATCCAAAATTGCTGATTTAGACATCAATAAAAGAATGCCTTCAGATATTAAATTAGCCGTTCAACTTGGTTTGCAACACATAGATGAAATTTGTACTAATTGCTCGTTCTGCTGGAAATTAATTTATAGAAAAGATCATAATTCCATAGCATTAAGATGTAACCATTGTAAAATGAATAGTTCGGCATTCAAAGAAACATTCAAAGGAAAATTCAGGAATATGTCTTGGGGGCACATATTTTCTTTTATTTGGCATTAGGTTAGGTTAAGTTGGTTTAAGAAACCTGGAGAATGTTTTCAGTTATTTGTTAAACATTTGGTTATATCCAGGATCAGGTAAAACTCCAAAATGAAAAGAACCAGAAAGGGTACCTACTGCCTCTAAACCCAGCAAAGAGGAAAAAAAAAAAAAAAAAAATGGAAACGTCTACTAAAAACATAGTCAAATTGTCAAATAAGAAAAAGAAAGATTCTAAAACAGAAGTTGAATCAAGTTGTCAAATATATTATAGTTTAAAAAAGGAATTAAAAATAGGCATGTATTTGTAAGTTCGGTGATCATCATCTTGTTTGCACATTTCATTCACAAACAAGATGGTGACTGGAAGCACGGCCATTGGGACTACCAAGGTAAACTTTAATCTAGTTAAGTGCTCTTTTAATGTTATTTGCTTGTAATGCTATATTGTAAGTCTAAATTGCTGGTATTTCTTACTTCAATTATATGCTAATTCTTGTTAAACGTAGAAGCAAGCAAACAATAATGGTTTAATTACAAATTAATAACATGCTCTTTTAAAAACAGAATGAATAAAATTAAAATTTCTATTAAGTGCAGACTTATTCACTTACTCCATTTAATGTTATAAATTTACTGCAGATGGGTCTAAAGAAATTACAATAAGATCTGTTGCACTAATAAATTTTATATTGTACAAAAATAAAGTTATCAATAGCAAGCCAAATAAAATATATTAAGTGACCATTACTGTATGTAAATCCATATTTGGAATCCATTAGCAATATTTGGAAAATATAACAAATTAAATAATGAAAAACTACTCTACAATAACACTGTTATTTTACATATAAAATAAATTACAAACCTCTTGGCCCACATACAGCACTAACTGGCATTCTCATTGGAGACTGGGTAACAGCAACTAAAATTGAAAAGGAAAACTTATAACATTAAAATTAATAAGTTAATCATAACTATAATGAAATATATTTGAAAAAATCAGGATAAAAATGGTATATTCCACTCAAGCATTGTTTTGAAAAAATGCATTTGATAAATTTTAAATAAAACTTAACCTTAAGTGTTTTGCTTTTATGGAAATATATGCTGTGAAAATATGTACAAAAGAAACTAGGACACTGATTATATTACAAAATAGAATATACTTATTATATGTATATTAGTAAAAAAGATAACACTAACTAAAAATGATGTGGCATTATATAAATTGTAATCCTCTTCAACAACTATCTTCACTTCATATATCCATGAATTACTAACTCATACTTCATATTTTTACATATATCACGATAAACAAATAGGATAATTTGAACATATTTTGTAAGTAATTAAAATAAACATACTTAATTTAAGTGAGTCAATTTTTTTACAATTTGTTTTGCTCATTATGCGAGTTTCCACTGTATTTACATTTTCAATATACTGTACTGTATTTCAAAAAACTGGATACTTAATTATATAACACTCACCAAATAAACCATTACCAGTTCATAACTAAACAGAAAAATTCTTTCTACGAACGTTTTCATCTATATATAATAGACATCCTCAGGTATTGATGATATCGAACTAACGGCTATTAGAATAGAATGTTTTTGAAAGTACTGTTTAACTACATAATTCAAATACATTGCGTTAAAATTGAAAATATGTAAAATATTTAAAATATATCCGAATAAATAATTGATTTCACGTAGATCATGATGTAAATATCCTCCGTAATTTAAAATATCTCTGATGCACGTTTCAATCATTGGGATCTAATACAAATATGGCGTGCCATGCTGCGGAAAGCGTATCGGTTTCTGAAATTAATACCAACCCCTTTTTTAAGACGTAAGACCCCATACGATGTACTCATCGTATGGAACAAGGTACCTAACATTGATTTGGTACTTAACTATTTTAACGCTAACCCCTATGGCCTGACGTTGAAAGTTGAACAGGAGAGTCAGACAACAGTACATTTTTTGGATATTACCATCAAAATGGAGCAAGGTCATCTTTCCACCTGTGTGTTCCATAAAGGAGTCATATACACCTATATTTATACATAACTGCAACGTATTCAAATTATGTAGTTAAACGGAACTTTCAAAAACATTCTATTCTAATAGCTGTTAGTTCGATATTGTCAATACCTGATGATGTCTATTACATATAGATGAAAACATTCGTAAAAAGAATTTTTCTGCTTGGTTGTGAACTGGTAATGGTTTATTTGGTGAGTGTTATGTATTTATATTTAGTAATATAGTTGACTCACCTTAAAACAAACACTGATAAAGCAAATTCTCACGTTAAAATGACTTTTGATGTTGTCATGGAGAAATGCCATTGTCACAACATTAACTTTCTTGCACCCAAAAAGTTTACCAGAATTCATTAAACCAAACTGTAATTTACCTTCACAACCCCGAAGCAATAAACCTATTTCTAATAATAGTTGCTTTTTACACTTTTTGATGTAAACAATAAAAAGTGGCAGTGTAACAAGTGTTCCAATGTAGAATAGAATCAGAAGAATAGAATTTCAGTAGAATAGATTTTATTCTCCTGAAAGTAAAAATGGGTTTGATCTCTAATTATACAGCAATTCAAACATTTCATTTCTGCAGACCATTCTATTTTATTTAGAAAAGAGAGGTTAAAGCTTAAAGACATCCACCCCCTCAAATAGATACAGTCCCATGCAAACGTGCTAGTTTATGTATCAGAGAATGCATACACTAATGCCAGGTTTGCTACTTTGTCCAAATTTGGCTCCATTTTTACTCTTTTGGCACCAAAAAGTGTTTTCATTTTCAATCATCAACAGAAAAAAAATCTTAGATTTCTTTTAGCTTTGTTTTCTTTAACCACTCTGATATACTACACCACACTTAAAAGACAAATACTGCATCCCTCTCATTTTGTTTGATTTGAAGATCATTTACAAAATTAAATTTATTTACAAAAATAAATTAATTTTATTTAACTTTATTTAGTAAATTAATTCAAAGCATTGTAATTTAGGGCTTTTGATTAAACCTATTAAGCCTTAACTTCTTAAATTATGCAACCTTTACCATAACCATAAATATCATTAATACAAATCTCTGGTAAAGCAAACAAGCTACTGTTCCTCTAGCAATTTGTATTAAAGCAAGTTTTCTGTAACAGTTGTTTCATGTCATTAGTAATGCAGCATATTAATTTCAACTCAAAAATAATTTGTTTAATATACTTTCAGCTGTTGTAAGCTAACAGTACCTGATCGTAAATCAGGTACTGATTACAATTAATATCATAAAATAAGATTTCTTTCTATAAAAAATAATGAGAAATAACTAACCTGATGCTCTTGGTTGCAAACCAGATGATATTTGAGAGGCTACTGGTTTTCGAATAATATGTCCTGTTGCAGTCATAATAGTACCAGTGCTATTTAATGTTCCAGATATAAGAGATGTTAATGTTGTTGCAGGTGTTGTTGGCTTTGTTAGTAATGTTTGTTGTTGCAATAATGTTTGAGCTTGAGACTGTATAGGAGACTGTAATTGAGGCAAAAGCTGTGTTGATGGTAACTGTGGCTGAGATGATGTAGAAGTAGGAATTGTATTTCCAGTGCCAGATACTGGAGTTAAAGCTGTTGAAGGAGGCATATCATATTTCTGTAGTTGTAACAAGTATGCATCAGCTAAATATAAAAAAATAATAATATATAAATAAATAAATATATATATATATATAGTTAATAATGTTAAATATAAACAATAATCTATAAATTCAAATTATTAATAAATTTTCTATAAAATTTTTTACCTGTTGGAACTGAGCCCCAACAGACATCTAATGTGGTTGTTGAAGCACGTACAAGTTGAACTCGAGAAGGTGCAATTGGTTTTTCTGTTTCCAAATACCATAAATCCTTACAACACACCTGCAAAATTTAGTTATGAAACAATTTAGACAACTTTAAAATATTTTAAATTAGTAAAATCTAACAAAATCAATGCATACTATAAAATTTAGAATTGTTAATGAGATAAAAAAAAATTTATAGTAAAAATATAATTAATTATGTGGCAAAGCTAAGTCAATTCATATGATAAATGTTTACCTTTTTATCAAGTCATAGAAAATTTTGCAAATACTCAATCCATTAAAAAAAAAAAAAACACAATTATAAGTGAATAAATATTAATGTTAAATAATGAGAAAATTTTTTGTACCCATATAAACTTTTTATTGAACTAAAAATAGACAAATATGAAATATTTTAATCAATTTTTCAAAAAATTAAATTTATTATAGTTGAATCTTTTTCCACAAAAACAACTTGATATTAGTTAAGTCAGACTAACCAAAATTCTGTAAAAATTTATCTTAATAAGAAAAAAAATTTTCTTTGCATTGTTTTGCTTTAAAATTTAATATTTTACGTTTTTGATACTAAATTAACTTCTAAAGTATAATTTTTTATTGTTTTTATATTTTTCAATACATTTATTTTGTTCGTACAAAATAAAAAAAAAAATTTTTAACAATACAATAGTCTTTGTTAGGCTTAACATCGACGAAAATTCAGCACGAAGCGACACGCAACGGAGAAAAATGTCAAGATGGGATAAACTAATATATTATTTCGTACATAATCAGTTATCCGAAACATCGATCTTCCGAACAACCCCAGTCTCAAATTGATTTGGATAATCAACGCTCTACTGTATATACTTTTAATTTCTCTTGATATTAATACTTAACAGTATTCATAAAATTCACAAAATTTTAATCTACATCTATAACAATAGGTTCAAGTTCATTTTATAAAAAATAATATGCAAAATATTTAGAAATATGTAGGTTACAGAATAAATTAGGAATGCAATATAAAATTTTCTCATTTACAATACAGTATATATTGGAGGAAATATTGTAATTATGCAATGACCAATCTTTTAATTCAGCTGAATAGTCAAAATCTTCAGAGTACAATTATTTTATTGAATTTAAAACTATTATATCTATACTAATATTATAAAGAGGTAATGTTTGTAAGTTTGGATGTAGCGGGTAATCTCCAAAACTACTCATCCGATTTCAAAAATTCTTTCACCAATATTTAGAATGGAACTTCAGGGTGGACGTAGGCTGTATATTATTCCGTTAAACATTCATAAAAATTAAAAGATATCATCTAGGTTAAGGCTTTTATGTCCAACAGATGGCGCTACGAGTATGACAACCTAAGTTTGCTTTTCTGTGAAAATGAACTAAAGCAGATCATCTTCTATCTGTCTATATAAATAAAAATGTAATGTTCATTTGTTCCTACCGATTCCTTTGAAATTTTGACACAACGCTGCATTCGAATACGCATGTGTTTTTATATAATATACGTGTCGAAATTCTCCCCACTGGGGGAGAGGGACAGGATTAAGGCTTACCATAAAGAACTCTGCTTCTATTTATACTATTTTAAATGCAGTTTTTTGCGTTTTTGATTGCGTTTAAATAGGGTACGTCAACAGAATATACACTAAAAAGGGATTTTTCGATATTCCCCCCGCAGGGAGAGGGACAAGATTAAGGCTTACTGTAAAGAACTCGGCTTCTATTATACTATTTTAGATGTGTTTTTGATTGCGTTTTAATAGGGTCAAGAGAATGTACACTAAGAGGAGATTTTTCGAAAAATTCCCCCTTCCATGGGGGAAGTGTTATACATTTGTAATAAATTCATTTTGAGCCACAACAACGCGTGGCAGGGTCTGCTAGTTACTTTATAAAGTCAACACACCTTAATACTGAGAAAGCTTATTTATTCTGCAGAACAAACATTTTCAACCCATTCCATGGGCTATCATCAGGTTAAAGACATTCGAATCAATAGCTTTTCGAATAACATGTTCAAATTTAAAATTATATTATAACACATGCTGTATATTGAAATTGAATTAACCCCTTAATGACCATCTGTAATTAATTATGATGTAATTAAGCATAAAAAATACATTAAAAAAAATACTTAAAACTGAAAAAAACGAAAGAAATGCGTTGATTTTGAAGAAAAAGCTTCAAATTTTATTTTCCTTTGTCTCGCCTTTCTGTGAAATTTAACACCAATGAGTCATTGTTTACACAGCTGGATGACCTTGAACACAAATGGAGTTGGATTTCCCGGGGCATTCTCATATACGTCTCAGGAGGACAAGGGTTTAAAGTAGGGTAAATATGAGCGACACGTATATTTTTAAACATTTTTTAAAAATTAAGATTTTAATTGCAATTTTCGACCCCCCTAATTAATTAAATTAATATATAAAAAATCAATTAATTTAAAAAATTAAAAAACTATCGGAGGTCGTTTTTGACATCAGAAACTAGCTTTAAATAACTTTACCGAAGGAAAATCTGTGCACTACAACTTAGGAACTATGAAATAAATTTGATAAAAAACTACCATTAAAAAACAATTAAGCCTTAATCAAGCCTTATCAAAGGCTCATTAAAATCGCAATAAAATTTTTTCGCACAGGTAAAAATTTTTGCAAAAATTTGTGGAACCTAAAAACATTCCAAAAATTGAAAAAAAAATTTTTTTTTGTCAAAAGTAGCCTTAACTACCGAATTTTACGTAACGGTATGTAAACTTGACGAGTTATCTCGTCAATAATTAAGTAAACAACCATAACTAAATTAATACAATAAATAAGAATATACTAAATAAAATAGAATATAAAATATGGTACCAGACTGTAATCTTTGTCCTAATACAATATTTTAATATTCATAGTGTTAACTGCCATTTCTACTCCTTAAATGGGATGATGAGGGTCTTAGCACCAAAATGCATTCCCATATCAATAAAATTAATATCTGACTGTATTGTGCCACCCTCCGTCCCATCCCGACACAACAAGTCCCCCCATCCAGCCATGTTGTTAAGCTACCATGTTGTTAGTTGTGCTAAGACCCTCATCCTCCCATTTAAGGAGTAGAAATGGCAGTTAACACTATGAATATTAAAATATTGTATTAGGACAAAGATTACAGTCTGGTATCAAATAACCGAGTATACAAACTATTAAAATATGTTAATTCTCCACATTACAACATGTAAAAAATTACTTTGTAGTATACCCGTTTTTACTGAGCCTGTGGAATGTATGATATCATCCTACAAGTTCTTTCTGATTATATACTTCCTTGCTGTAGGTAAAATGGTTGCATCTTCATAGTTTAAACATTTTCCCATTAAGCTAGATCTGTAGATCTCACATTTCTCTGTTGTAGCTGCAAGCATTGGCAAGTGCACCTTTGCAATGATTCTGGCCTCATCCCATTTAACCATGGACCCATCCATCTGAGCTATTTTTGATAATGCTGTTGTATTTTGGCTTTTTGCAACATTGTACTGTACTTATGCTCTTTCACCCTTACATTCAGGTTTCTATTTGTAACCCCTATATACTCTTTGTCTATTCCCAATTGGTCGTTTATGTACACTCCTGGTTGCTCTTTCTCTTTCTTTGTTGTCTCTCTTTTGTTTTTCTTTGTCTTTGTTGTTTTTCTTTGTTGCTTCTGAGTAACGTATACAAGGTGGGAGCTCTTTTGTATACAATATTAGTGCTTTTGTAGTTTGTGATTTCTTTCATAACTGCAGATAGATGTTTATTATATATGAACTTCGTGATATTAGTGCCTCCATCAAGGCATTAGAAAAGGCATTTTCTCTTTTTGCCTTTTCTAGGATCATTGTATGCATCAATTAAGTGTTCCACTGTTCTTGCTCCAAATCCCAACACTTTTGCCACTTCTTTAATTCTATTTAGCTCTTCTATCATTAATTAATTAACTATTAATGTGATAAAACACTATAATTATAATGTGATAATTACTATAATTGGAAACAATTAAAAATAAAATATCTTCCATGAGTTAGACTACTAAACTTTCCAGTCTACTAATAGTAAACTACTGCAATAATCTTTACAGTTGTGAGGAACTAACCTAGCCTTGGTGATTATGTGGCAATGCATCCACATACCACAAAGACTGGAAAACCATGCCAACAAATGAAATGGACATAAAAAATGAACAAATTTATCATTCATACTTACTACACCATCACAAAACTTGAAACAAACATGACAGCATACAGACAACAACTACACCATTGATTCACCTCACTGTCATCAAACATAGGGTTGTTGATAAAAAAAAAATTATGTACAACAAATTATCCCATAAACAACACTTAAACCTATTAAACAACAGGTTGCTGATCAAATACATCAACAGATAAAAACATTTAATGTTAATAAAGTTCATGTAATCTGCCAGGATAATCCAGCAACAAGCACAAATAATAACACACACACACAATAACTATCACTAATAATACTATAAACACTTCCTCATCCTCCAATGATAACATACACATACACATTTAGTTAATATGCTGTCACTTTTATTTCAGGAAACACTCACTAAATATACAGGTACACATCCCATACAAAGACAACAAATTTCAAAAATCAATACGTCTAAGGTAGTAGGAAAAACACTAAATTATGTAAACACTCACCTACTACCACACTACATTCATTCAATTTCTACTCTCAGACATTCATATATTAGTTTATGCTGGGGCAGTCACAGTAGTGACACACCATGGACTGAAAATACAATCATAGACTGATACACACATAATACAATTTTATCAAAAGCCTGCCTGGCAAAGAAAAACAGAAACAAATAAATGACATTAGACAGAAATTAGGCAAGCTGACATAATACACTAAAAACAACATAACACCCAAATTAAAGAAACAACTCAAAAACATTTTCAAGAAAATCAAAACACACACAAAACATAAACATCACAACACACACATTACAGAATACATTACAGTTGAACAGAAACACACATGTGAGAATCTGGAGACATGAAACAAGAGCCTTTTCTTAGATTGGGAAGATTTATTTAGAAGTTATTTTAATTTATAAAATTATCAAATCATTATTTAGTTAGAAAGCAAAATGTACACTTTTACATTTTCTTTCATATAAATTTAATGGAAAAAGGGAAATAACACTTCCTTTCAGTCTATCAACTTCCTGTGACAAGATCTTATTGCACATGTTGATGAACATCTGTTATGTCAAATCATCTCTAATATCCCGTCACACATGTAACAAATTAACATTTGATTGTCAGAGATTTTGGGATAAAAAAGGTGAACAACAAATTCTCGGGGCTCTCTTCTCGAAGTTTCCTTTATCAAGTCCACCCTCATCAGCTCTCCTAATCTCTAATCTCTCCACAGAGCCCACTGATCAGTGAAGTTTCTCATTCTTCATTCTGACGATAAACTTAGTCTAGATGATATCTAAAGGTATTATGCTCTAAATATTGTAAACTCTCTCTCAGTCTACTAGGGATGCACTTAGTTATCGACATAAATTTTTGTTATTCATTAAACTTTTCACCACTTTTTGTTATTAGTTAACCTGGCTTCAATTTGAATTTATTTCGAGGATAGTCAACCTTATCGACAGATTCACGACTCTCCCCACTAGAACATTAGATATACTCCCATTCGAAATACATAACTTTCCCATTTGAAAGTGAATTGACATGTAGTTATAATCATAACTTACAATGAGAATGCTAATTATCCTATCTCTGTCAGAGAAAATAGTCAGCAAGATCCTACAATCTTGGAAACAAACGAATTTAGAACTTTTATAGCCATCCAGTGATAAAAGTGAGCAGGCTTAACCATCCTCACTTTGCAAAAAGTGTTTAGTGTGATCCACTCTAGCCTGCAGATTCTCACACATACATCACACTACAGAAAACCATTATAGTGAATACATGTCATATTGTTAGGAAATTCTCAAATACAGATACACACACACTGCACATTTATTCAATTTTTGTTTTGTTTTAGTTGCTATGCCTTGACTCTAGTCCGGCATAGTACACAGCCACTGGTATCAACAGATTATAACCCACTAAATACTGTATAATAATAATAATAATAATACCATACTACAAGTATATTCCACAGACAATATTGAAAAACTACACGCACAAAATGTACTACGACAGAGCCATAATCACAGATAAAACAATTTACCACAACAGACCAGACATCACACTCATTGACAAACAATAAAATCACATACATTATAGACATAGCCATTCCAAACACTCACAATGTACAAAACACATGCACTGAAAAAATTAGCAAGTACACAGAACTCGCCCAGGAAATAAGGCATCTGTGGAGGATGGATAGGGTGCTTATTGTACCTGTTGTTCTCTCCTGTACAGGTGTGATACCACACACACTACATAAAAGCCTGGGAACATTACAATTGAGTATAAATACATACATCACACTACAGAAGGCCACTATATTGAATACATGCCACATTGTTAGGAAATTCCTGAATACAGACACACGCTTATTTAATTTTAGTTTTGTTTTGGTTGATATGCCTTGACTTTGGTCCGGCATAGTACATAGCCACCGGTGTGAACCGAGTATAACTCACATAACATAACAATAATAATAATAAATACCAACTATGCCCTGTGCTGAAATAAACGTACACGACATCTGCTACACTGTTAACAGAACACAACTGGAAGACTCCTGGTGTAGACAATGTTCACAATTTCTGGTACAAAAAATTTACATCACTGCACCAGGAACTAGCTAAACATCTAACACACATCGTCATCAATCCACAAAACATGCCAAAATTTCTTACTCAGGGCATCACCTACATGAAACCTAAAAACAACAACACCACAGACCCCACACAATACAGACCAATTACATGTCTTCCAACCCTCTACAAATTACTGACATCCAGTATCACAAACAAAATATACAAACATGTTGAAGAACACGACACTCTTACAGAACAACAAAAAGGTTGCCGTAGAAATCACAGGGGATGCAAAGAACAGTTACTCACAGATTCAATCATTCTATGGCAAGCACTAAAACAACACAGAAACATACACATGGCATATATAGACTACAGAAAAGCATTCGACAGTGTTCCACACAGTTGGCTTCTACATATTCTACACATGTACAAAATACATCCATCACTCATTGCATTCTTCGAAAACACTATGCAGCACTGGAGAACAACACTGCATCTCAAGGCTAGTAACACTTCAATACAAACAAACGAAATATTCATTAGGCGAGGAATTTTTCAAGGAGATTCCTTGAGTCCTCTCTGGTTCTGCCTAGCCCTGAATCCATTATCCAACATGTTAAACAACACACAATACGGCTACAATATCAGACAAGAAAAAACAACACAGTTTACACTGTCACATCTCATGTACATGGACGACATAAAACTTTATGCATCCACACAAAAACAACTTCATCAACTCCTACAAATCACACACTCATACACCAAGGACATACAAATGGAGTTTGGCTTAGACAAATGCAAAAAACTTCACATAGAAAAAGGAATCCTGAAGAAAGAAGATTTTGCACTTGGAAATGGAAACGTTATTGAATCCATGGAAGAGGGCGAGTTCTACAAGTATTTAGAATTCCAACAGGTCAAACTAACAGAACATACACAAATAAAGCAAAGTTTAATTAAAGAATATCAAAGTAAGTTAAATGCTATCCTCAGAACACAGTTAAATGCAAAACACACAGTTAAAGCAATAAACACACGTCATCCCAGTACTCACATACTCTTTTGGAGTTATACATTGGACTCACACAGATCTTGATCAACTCAAAGGAAAACAAGAACAACACTTACTAATCATCCTAAATCCGCCACAGAAAGATTAACCCTTCCACGTAAAGATGGCGAACATGACCTGATTGACATAGTTAACCTTCACTATAAACAAATACAGTCACTGCGAGAGTTTTTCTACAGGAAACAAGAAACATCACAGTTACATAAAACAGTAACTCTAGCAGACTCAAATAACATACCATTAAACTTACACTCATATCATCTTCACACAACATATAAAAAGCATACACACCATTAAGCAACCGTGGGCTCGAAAGGCACTCTATGGCAGGCATCCTTATGACCTGGCCCAGGATTTTGTTGACAAAATCTGCGTCAAACAGCTGGTTAGACCGGGGATGCCTCTTTGGGGAGACGGAAGGATTCATGATTGCCATACAGGATCAGGTCATAAATACTAAAAACTGCAGAAAACACATACTCAAAGATACAACACTCACAAATGACACATGCAGAAAATGTCACATCATGCCAGAAACTATACAACACATTACTTCTGGATGCAAGCTCTTGGCACAGACAGATTATTTACAGAGACATAATCAAATAGCAAATATAATACACCAAGAGCTTGCAAACAAACACAAATTATTAGACATCCACGAGCCACACTACAAATACATTCCACAGACAGTATTGGAAAACAACATGCACGAAATGTACTACAAGAGAGCCATAATCACAGATAAAACAATTTACCACAACAGACCAGACATCACACTCATTGACAAACACAATAAAATCACATACATTACAGACATAGCCATTCCAAATACTCACAATGTACAAAACACATGCACTGAAAAAATTAACAAGTACACAGAACTTGCCCAAGAAATAAGGCATCTGTGGAGGATGGAAAGGGTGTTTATTGTACCTGTTGTCATTCACTCCTGTACAGGTGTGATACCACACACACTACACAAAAGCCTGGGAACATTACAATTGAATAGAAATACATACATCACACTACAGAAGGCCACTATATTGAATACATGCCATATTGTTAGGAAATTCCTGAATACAGACACTGATACACTTATTTAATTTTAGTTTTGGGTTGCTATGCCTTGAGTCTTGTCCGGCATAGTACACAGCCACCAGTGTCAACTGAGTTTAACCCACTAAACCCAGCATAATAATAATAATGAAAATATAAAATAAATTAATCCCATATAAAAAAAGTTCTAAAAATATATTAATATTCTTCGGTAATGTCTGCTCCTTTCTTTTCAATCTTGAGATACAAATAAATTAAAAAAAAAAAACATCATATATCATTCTTTTTTATTTTTTCTAATTTATTATTTAAAATATTCATTTATTTATTATATCTTAAATTTCTAAAATAATGGGAGAAAAGCACAATCCAAATCCGAGCAATATTGTCTTTCATACCTTTACTATATTAGTTTCATATACTGTGTATCTAACCTGATTATTCCATGCTTTTCTGTAACCATCTCTTCCACTCCATATATATAAACGGGTATTAATAGCAACAGAGCAGTGACCAGCACGTGCCCTTGGTATAGCTTCTTCAAATACTTCCATTGCTAATGGTTCCCATGTCATTGTTTCTGTAAAAAGTATAAAAATTTTTTGATTATATTTTGAATTTCTATAAAATCACACAAAAATAGAATTTTAATTAAAAAATACAAATTCAACAATGTTATGTAGATCAATCACACAGATTTTTTCTTTTGCATGAGGGCATGTCTTATTGCCATTTCATATTCATCTTAATAATTAAAATTACATTTAATAATTTAGAATATCTGAAGGAAAATACTGTAAATAGTGTGTATAAATGTGGGATTAATTTAGATCAAATACAGTTAACCCCCGTATAACATGGGAGTTACGTTCCAAAAAATTGCCATGTTATACGAAACAAAGAACTAATGCGAAAAGGAGGGTTATGTTCCACAAATTAAAAAATATGCTGTTAAATCCTTCTTTAAATCGAATTTATTATTATTTTTTTTTATGGGTAAAATACTTATTTATTATTTAAGTAAACATTTTACCAGAGGATTATTTATTCTATATGATGATCTCAGCATGAGCAACATCAACTGGTAACGGTTTTTGGATGCATTCGTTACTAGCGGTCGCTCTGTGTCTCCACTATAACAGAAGTGTGCTGCTGTTTGTGACATTTAGGAACAATGGTGAAAGAAAAAAAGATGTCAGTGCCTGCACTAGTGATAGTATCATGATGGAGGAATCCATAATTATAAAATATGAGCTTTTAGAGGCAAAAGAAGGTCCCAATTGTAAAATTTAACCTATAGTCCACGATATCTTGCTGGAATTGGCCAAAGATATCAACAGGTATGCCATCGTTTGGGTCAGGAGTCACGCTGGTGTTTTTGGCAACGAGCAGGCTGACCAAGTTGCCTGCATGGCCAAGCTATAATGCCACTCCCCAATATCACATCTTAAGACAAACAAAAGAAAATGCCTCCACTATTTGGCAAAGACAATGGGAGGAGCATAGCTAATGTCTTACAAAGGAGTTTTTCCTCAAGGTTTCAGATTCTACTCTTCCAATCATTGACCAAAAATTGGTCCAATTCTATACTTTACTGGACATGGGAAGTTTAAACCAATACCTTCACGGGTTTGGCAAATCGAAAAACTCACTGTGCAAAATTTGTAACAAAACAGATGGAGTAAAACACTATCTGTTTAAATGCCCTATGTTGGATGATAAGCGTTTTACCATCACCACTCTACTTCCACCAGAAGAAATTGACCTTGCAGCCTTGGCATATTTGTCAAAGACAAAAACTGTTTTGTAGAATTTAAAGAACTATTGATACTTATTTCAACAGAACTACCGTTAATTAGGTCACTTTGTCTCAATGGACTGATGTTTTCTCGAACCAGGCACAAAATTTTGTACTGCTTTGTTTATTTAATGTACACATAATAACATGAACATTACGTGTTAACTGCATTTTCAGTGTCATGATAACTCATTTCCACGTAGTTCAATGCATTATGTTTGTTGCACCACATTGGGTTTCATAGTGTACTATTACATTACATGTTCTCTTAGTTTGTTAACAATATTATGCATTGGTATTGTTGGTAACATATTGTATGGTAATAATGTTAATCCATACTCTTTTGAGTACTATTCTACTGTTAACTGTTTCTTGTTAAAGCTATGTAACACAATAGACTGGGATATTGTGAAAACTGATATAAGAGAGATATACAATGCTTAGTACAGTGGAACCCCGGTTAACGAACGTCCTGGTTAACGACCAAATCGGTTAACGAACTTTTATTTTGGAAAAATTTTGTCTCGGATAACGAACAAAACTCGGATAACGAACTTAACGGCTTTTTGTGTCAAATTTGTAAGCTTGCTGACTTTTAGGGAAAATCAGTTAATCGTGTGTCGGTGATGGTCTAGGGTCCATTCGTACGTTGGTGGTGGCGGAGGAGACAAAGATGACAAGTATTTTACAGTGAAAAGTTTATTAGAACGGGAAGATGCTTACATATTTGATATAGTTGGAAATGGCTTATCTACAGTATTTTCTCCCGGCATTGAGCAGTGGCGTATCGCTGGTCCTACGATAGTGCAAGCTGATCAGTCGTAGCCCCAGAGCGGACGAGATGGGTTCGCTCGGTCACAGAAGTGATGGTAGGTGACAGAGCTGCAACGACTGGAGCGGTCCGCGAGACACAACACAAATTTTAGCAGGCACGACTTCAGGCTTAATCCAGATGAAGACGACACAGATTAATCGCCATAGAATTTTTAGGAAAACTGCGTTTTGACTTTGAGATTCGGGTTTTTATAGTATTTCTTCCTTGAATTTCACCTTACGATTAGTCCTGCGTCCCATTCCTCGCTTCCCGATTGTTTTCTTCATTGTCTCCAGGTGAAAACTGAAACCAGATCAGGTCACAAGAAAGGTTTGTTCGGAGGCGTTTATTTGACACCTGTTCGTCGACTCTGATCAGAGATTGTTGATAAACCTATAAGCCTTTCGCTCATAATTTAGCCTATTCTTTCTGCTATCTGTCATTTTAGAACTTTAACGATCGTATGTGATGTTTTTATACCCGTTAAATCTTTCCCCTTTTCCGAAAATTTAACCTAGATCGACTGTTTATGAGCACGTTTTCCTATATTTTCATTAAATAAAACCCATTTTACAAATAAAATTACAAAAATACTGACGGCTAGAACGGATTAATTGTATTTGCATTAATTTCTATGGGAAAAATTGCTTCGGTTTACGAACAATTCAGTTAACGAACGGACTCGTGGAACGGATTACGTTCGTTAACCGGGGTTCCACTGTAATTGTGTATTTGTATTTGTATTAGAGATGCATAACAAGAATCTCATCTATGTATTCATTTATGTATTTATAGCATTGTTACTATTTGCTATTATTATGTTCTTATATTACATTAATTTGTATGTGTTCATTCCTTTATATTTGTATTATCTTATTATCTATAAAATGTTCATATGTGTTTATCATTGATATAATATTTGGTATTATATTATCATATGTTCATTTGTTAATAATACCTGATGTATGTTACCATGTATTTATGTAATCAACTCCTATGCAAGTTATTTTATGTAAGTATTTGGCTACTCTGCAGTCAATAATTTGCCAAGTATATTAATTGAATTCTAAAACTTGTATAGCTGTAATCTAAAATATTCTCTTTATGTAACCTGTTTTACATGTATTATGCTTGTAAACATTCTGCTCTCAACCTCGGTGGTGCTCTGTGACCTGAGGCCGTCTTCGGAAATAAAGATTTATACAAAGTGAAAGTGAAAGTGTAAAATTTAACCATTAAATGGATTATTTGTTGAAAGAGCATTCAAAGTAGCCACGAAAAAAATTAGAATGCTCGCGCGTAGGTATAAAAGAACACACCTTTTATTACATTTCATGTTGAACAAGGGTTTTACCCAATTCCTGAACTGTGTTAGAGTGAACCCATGCTATAAAAGCAGTGTTATACGGGGGCTACCTGTAATCTGATTAGTACAGAAGTTTGGGTTTGATGATTGTTTATTGTATATATATGTACTGATATATTTGATCTAATGTTTTTGTATCAGGCTTTTCAATTCAATACTTGTTTGTTTCCATCTTTGACAAGTCTTATCTAATACAAATGAATAATAGAGTATAACACATATAGCTTTTTATTCACGTATCGCATGTTCCATATTAGATAGATATACTGTGAAAAAAATGCCATAATAATGACAAAACAGCAGTAACTAAAAATGATGGAAATAAAGCCAAGTGTTTATTTATAACTCAAATGTGAGTTTGAAGTCCAATATATTCGCAAAACATGGCTTCAAAAACAACATAGAAAACAGCAGCAATTTTCCACATTTCAGGTTTTACAGTATTTCAGTTCAATCTATGTCCAGTTTAGGATGATCTGTGATTAATGATGAAGATAGGTCAAGTTAATAGAAAATCATCCAAACTACTGCTGATATTGGGCTACTTTACCATTACTATTAATAAATAAATTCTAAATAATTTGGTACTAGAGGTAGACATTAGGTGCCATCTCTTAAATTTAATAATTATAATTAAATTAATATTTACTAAATAATTTAGGATATTTTATGGCAGTCATTTAACTTATTAATAAAAACATCAGACTTTGAAATGTTTATAAATGTTCATATATTCATATATAATGCTAATATATTCCATATCAGCATTATCATTTAATTCTAGAATTAGATGATAAAGCCATACTAATGTTTATAAATGAAGTTGTACCGTACTAATGTACTGTAGAATGAACACATACTAAATTGGTACGACTTCCATATCTATGCAATTTAAAGTTAACAAGAGAGATGTTATAAATAACAACATTTAATTAATAGAAAGTTAGTAATATTGATTGTAATGCCCAAATTTGCACTAGTTTGAAACATTATTAAAATTAATGATAATAATAATAATAATCCAAGAACTATATTTATCAAGAAAACAATTAAAATCTTAATTCAGGAAATGCTATAATCTTCGTCCATTCCAAAAAAACTGGAAAATTGATTTAACTTACCAATTAAAAACAAAAAGGAATTTAGTATATTATTTTTATTATTTTATTTTATTACTTTTTGTTTTGTACATTTATTTATTAACAGATGTTAAAATTAGTATATTTCAAAACAGACAAGTTAAAATATAAGTAAACTTTAAAATTTTGGTTATTGTAATAAGATTTCAATTATAGTTGTTAATCTTAATATAATTATCTTTGAATAAATATGTATTTTAAAACTGTCTTTTTGTGCTATTAGTCTCAACATGTGATTGATAATATAACCAGTGTATTAAACATTAATCACTTTAACCTTGTGGCAGTTGTGTGAGGTTAACTGCCTTTGAATGCTTGCATGGCATCTCAGGATGCCAATTTTTATTCCAAAGCTGAAATTATCAGCATTACATCAGAAACTATGATTATATCTTATTTCTGCATTTTATTTTCTTTCTGATGATGTAAAATACTTGAAAATTGATGAAAATGCATTTATGTTTACTTTATTGTAATTTGATCCAATAAAGCAATAAAATAAACACAAAATTTCACATCAGTGTAAATTATCTCATGTATCATGGAATGACATCAGGTTTGTTTGTAATTGGAGAAGGATACATTGTCTTTCAAGGTTAGGATAGTAAAACTATTACATTCCATTTCAAAATTATAAACGTACCAAACTTTTTTCAATAACAAAAATATTAACAATAGTAATATACTGTACTTATTATATTAGTATGTTGTTTACAACATCAATTTATACATTTTCTGAAATTTTTAGGAGCTATCTGACAATTACAAAAAAAATTATCAAAGATTTTCATTTTTTATTGTTTCAAAAATATAGACACAGGTGCATAAAATTAGTATGATAAGTTTTTAATTAATTATTGGTTTAATTAGTTGTCACCAGAAGATAGTATCATTTATTATTACAAATGTGGGGCCAATTTTAAATGGTTTTTTATGATTTAAAACAATGCCTTGTGGAAAAACACTAAGAGTTGGAAATACATGAAATTTACCAACTAATAGGAGCAGGACAATCTCTAAGACAAATTTTGGCAGCTGTAAATCGATCTACATGTGCTGTAAATCGATCTACATTTTCTGACAGTCAACAAGTTGGCTGTCAGAAAATCAGCATCAATATTGCCAATTGCAGTTTCACCAAAAACTGTATGGAGATGTATGCATAATCATAAAAATGCCAAATTTACAAAAATGGCTGCCAAACCGAAATTAACACAATTGCACAAAACAGCTAGATTAAAATGGACAATAGACAAGATGACAGGGAAAGAGGAGCGAATCCAACTAGTCTTTTCAGATGAAAAAAATGGAACTTGGTTGGACCTGACAGTTACTGCCACTACTAACATGATTTGAGGAAGAACAGAGAACTCAGAATGATCAGAGCATACAGCAAGGTGAGGCTCTTGATGATATTGGATTTGGATGGAGGATAAAATAGACATTGTATTTATAGAAAGTAGAATGAATTCAGAAAAGTACCAAGAACTGCTGTATCAAAATTTAATAACTTTTGGATCACTTATTGGGTGATAAAACTGGCAATTCCAACATAATAATGCTGCCATCCATGCATCAAAGTCAATTAAAAATTGGTTTGCTGAAAAAACATTAATGTAATTGATTGGCCATCACAGAGTCCTGATATGAACCTGATAGAGAATGTTTGGAGCATTATGAGTCATCTTGTTTATAGCCAAAACAGACAGTACAATACTGTAAATGCACTGAAATTAGTTATCATGGATTGTTGGAAAAATATTAAACAAGAACAACTTCAAAAACTAGTAATATGTATGTCTGATATAGTATTTGAATTAATTAAATCAAATGGTGGACCTAAAAATATTGAGACATCACAAATCATTTTTTTAAGCACCTGCGTTTATACTTTTGAAACAATCAAAAATTGAAAAATTTTTGATCGATAATTTGATAATTTTTTTTTGTAATTGTCAAATAGCTCTAAAAATTTCAGAAAATGTTTAAATTGATGTTGTAAACAACATACTAATATAATAAATACATTACTATTGTTAATGTTTTTGTTATTGAAAAAGTTGGATGTGTTTATAATTTTGAAACAGACTACTCCAGAGGAAAATTATCAATACAGTTGTGATTGACACCTATTGCTGATGTCAATAAACTGCTAATTGTTTTATTACCCTTATAAACAAAAGTTACTTTCCCACTATAAGTGGGTCAAATGACAATGTTATTGGTTTTTTGTATTCAGAACAATGTTGTCTTTAACATTTAACAACCAATTTTGTCAGATATGTCTGATTATTTTTATTTTTTGCATAATATAGTAACACAGTTATCAAAAATAAATTACCTTAATTCAAAAATTAATATCACTTGAAATATTACAGAAAGTATCAAAACTTTTTGCAAGTTCTTGTAATCAGGAATGTTATCTATATGAGAAATGAAGCAAATGCAAAAATATTGCATGGACTATCAAAAATTTGGCACAATGTTGATTACATAAATTTCTAGCTTTATAACTTAAAAATTTATGAAAATTTTATCAAATAAATGTATTTGTTGTAATGCCTGAATAACACTGATAAAATTAATAAAATGTTTTTCAATTCCCAGTTTTAAATTGCTATTGTGTCAAATTGCACTGATTCCAAACATTGCTTGCAACAGTACACTCATGTAATTTTCCTTCAACTTTTATTATATGTAAAGAGTCCCATATAAGCCAGCAATTTCTTCCCTCTAAAAGTATTTGTGTACTGAAAAAGTGTACATGTACAGTACATGTCTTCCAAGTTGAAAGTTAACAAGGTAGAAATTTTTTAAGATTTTTTTAAACAAAATTTTTAAGTATAAAAAATGTTGAAAAATGTCCTGTAACATCACATAACACCATATGACTCCCAGCTGGTTAATTGTTTTGCTTGTAATAGTGTAATTTTAGTTGCTGGCATTTCTTCAATTACATGCTAGCTATCAGTAAAAGGCAATGCTGAAAAAACAGCAAGAGAACAATGATGAAACAATTATTTTTATCTATTTATATTTATTTATTGTTATAATTTAAATGTTTATTTGACAAGTTTTTAACTTCTTTCCAATCTTAGAAGATATTAGAGAAAGAAAATGCATCAAATATGCAAAAAAGAAGTGGATTTATAAAGTGATATGATTAACAGAAAAGATGCAGATAGAAATCTACCTACCTACCCATCCTTAGAAATGGATTCTCAATAAAAATTATGATAATTGAAGCTGGTTATTTGCAATGTAAGAATTTAAATATTAATTTTAAGGTCAGTTAATATAAATATATATATTTGTATATTAAAAAAAACATTTAGACCAACAGAAGACACCACAGACTATAAGAAAATTTGAAAGATGTGTTGAATCTTTTGTTTTTGAACATTGAAAATCATGATTATCTTTGTTGTATTATTTCCAAAATACATATCAAAAAATCTAGGAAAAAAAAACCTCTCTCTCAAAATCATTCTGTTCCCATGACTATCCAGTTTGAAAAGTCCATCTGTATTGAAAATCACTTCAAAAATAGATTAGTAAAAAATATGAAAGTACTTGGAAATATTCGAAAGTGAATGTTTCTAAACAACTTTAAATTCAAAGAAAGCGGAAGTCAATTACTTTTAATTTTCTAATAATATTAGAATTTGATTTATTAGAATTATCTTACCTAAGTTAAGTGATGCTAATGTATTAGTACATTTCCATTCCTTTTCATGTGTTGCAGCTTTGTTATCTTCCATTACTAAAGGAACCCAGCCACCAAATACAAACATTCGGTGACTAATAAGAGTTGCAGAATGAAGACTTCTTGGTAATGGTGGACTACCATCCACAATAGGCTTACTCCATGACATGCCATCTGAAATTAATTATTTCTTTATTTTCATAGATTTTTATAGTGATAAATTATAAAATTTATAGAGATTAAAATTAAAAACAATATCAGCTGAAATATAACTAAGAATCACTTTTAAATTAAAAAAAAAATTAAACTAGCAAAAGATTTGTAATTAAAAAAAATGTTAGATAGTTTAAAAGAATTAGATTAAAACATTCAAAAATTTAATATACGATAAAAAACTAAAATATGATAAAATATTTTATCAGATAAGTACTATTTTTAAGTAGAAACCCACTAATGGATAAGACATCAAAATTCAGGAAATCAGTCTCATCACAAGACAGCTTTAATTGGCATGCAATGTCATATATAAGCTTGTGTTGCAGATACATTCAGGTGATTTGAAAATAGCATCAGCTGCATTTCAAGTATCATAACACTTGTGGCAGACAACATTTTAAATAAGTAAATTATTTTGAAAAGCTTAAATTATCTAACAAGGTACAACTTGTGCTGTTTAAAGTAACTGAATTAATTGCTGTAAAGTTAAAATCACATACAGTACTCCAGTAGTGTTTCTTATTTTACCAATATGTTGTGAAATAGTAAAAATTATGTTTGGAAACAAAGCAAAAAAGAAAATTATGAAAATTTCTAATTCAGATGATACAATAAAAAACAAAATTAAAAATATCTCAGATGATATTGAGAAAATAGTTACCAATAAACTTTCCAAACATTTTGTTTTACAAATTGACAAGCCCACTGACATTACTGGTAAAGATCATATACTAAGATTTGTTCATTTCATTATTGAAAATGAAATAGTGAATTAACTTCTATGCCACAGAAAACCTATCTTATCTTGTTGTACATTTGGTATTTTTGACTATTACATCATATTTTTAAAAATTTAATATACTGTATCATGAAAAAATATTAAATAGAAATTATTTGTGTTATAATAGAATATTTAACATTATTGGAAGAAAAGATTGGTTACTTTCCTTCCTTAAATATAGAAAATTATAGTGGATATGAAATCCACAGTTGTAAAACATTAAGTTGTGAATAGTATTGTACAACAATAATTGGTAACCTTGTCAATGAATTATGCTTTAAAATGGGAATTCTCCAAAATAACTCCTGAGGGAATTTTGGATTTTTGTCCAAGCCGCAGCTGGATGACAGTCAACTGGGTGATAATCAAGTGAGTGACAGTTAATTGGGCAACAAAAGTAAAATTTTTTGCATGCTTATCAAGCATATGAATTGAAGATTTTTTTCTTTGTAAACATTGGAAAAATACATATAAATATAAATATGGTTAAAACTTATGAGGTATGAGTTATAAAAGTTATTTCCAACTTAGGAAAAAGAAATATTTTGGAACAATGTACTGTAGCATTGTTAATTATCATATATCAGAAGAAATTAACAAAGCTTATCAAACAAAAAACTGTTTATCAGAGAAAAACAATTCTTTAAAAATAAATTATTTCAAAGAACTTTTATATTTTTTTGTTTTAATGTATATTGAATTTAATGTGTAATGTAATGTATTCTCAATTTTATGTAATTGTTGTTTTTCTTTTTATGTATACTTGTTAATTTTGGGGTAGATATCAACTGTCTGTTGAGACTTTTCTATTTACTTGTAAAATAAATAAATAAAATATATAACATGTATAAATATTTTTTTTTGGCACTCTAACACAAAATTTGTGCTACTATTTAAACACTTGGCATTTTCTCATCTTTATCCAGTTGATACAAGCATTACTACATATTTTGGGCTCACTGCCCCAAGTCAACATTAGATTTCCTACAGGCTTGAAGGTTTACACTTATATAAAAGAAATGCAGTTTCCTATATTTTAAGTATTACTGTTACACTACTTTTATTGATGTTTCGGGGTGTAAAGATGTATAAATATGTTTAGTAATTTCAAAATTGTTCTTTTAACTCATTTAACTCATTTCTTAAAAATTATTATTTAAACTTACTGGGATAAATAGGAAAAAATGGCAATTTTAATAAATAAAATAATAAAAAATTTTACTTTGTCTATCATTGATCACTTATTTTGTTGTCTAGATGTTCAGTACCCAGTTGGCGGTAGCTCAACCACCACCCAGACATCTTTGCCCAGTTGATGATGTCTCCAAATATTCATATCTCTCCACAAGGACATTGAAAATTTTATAAAACAGCAACTACACACTGGGTTGTATATAGCAAAATATGACCTACTTGAACCTATAACCAGTGTGTATAGAGTTTAATCTTCCAAAACGAATGTTTTCTTAACCCCTTCTGGGTTCTTCAGGTAAATCAGCTGGATCGAACACGAATACGAAAAAATTTGAACAAATCCGAGAACTGTTGAGTTTGAATTGTTCGGTTCGTTTGTATATTCCATCACATGACATGCTTGGAAGTGCTCGAACTTAACAATCAATGTCCAAACGCAAGAGAAAGTTATGTCAAAATACATAACATACGTGAGAGTGAGACAAATAATTAACAATGATCTCACATGTTCCCCAGTAATTTTTTCTTTATTCTTTACCACGTAATAAATAGTATAATGCTATCTTTCCGTATGTAGTAAGTTCTGCCATGCCATGGAGAGGCTAATCTCGTCTCTTGTAATAATGCATGAGGATGTGTCATGCACCTTAAAAATTTCCATCTCCTCTAACCATTTCAGTTGGTCGGTCAAGTTCAGTTGGTGAGGTGTGGTGACAATTAATTGCGCTCAAGTGAAGTCCGCCACAATTTTGGGATCAGTTCCATTAAGTGGAGAGTGAGGTGGTGCATCTATTGCATTGTATATCAGAGATATGCTCTTTTAACCTAATTCTCAACGAACGTTTAGTCGATCCTATGTATACCAAATCCCTGTTAAACCGGTTATCCCTTAGCGGACTGTATAGATGCCTGATAGTCTCTCCATATTGGATCAGTATTTTCCGTTACATAACATGTCGAACAAAGTACTGCATCTCCTATATGTCAGGGTAACTTTTCGGTTTTATTGCAATGGTGCGGTACAAAGACCTCAAGAGGGGGTTGAACATAGGAGTAGGCTTCTTCCACTAATAGTGGAAGAAGCCTGTGCCTGTTTAAGGTGCTCCGAGATTTTCCGTATAATATTTGTGGTAACCATGGAACCAGGCAATGTCTTCCAAGTATTTTAACTCTTCTGCGAGTTCCTGATGAGTAGAAGAGTGCGTATAGGCTCGTTTAACCAATGCCCTGAAGGCCGCCATCTTGTACTGGAAGGGATCACATGAGCTTATTGGTGTGTATGTGGATATACTAGACGGTTTGCAATAAACAGATGTGCATATGATGGAATCTTCAAATCTGATATCCAAATTGAGAAAATGGACTCTGCTGCTACTATGTTGCTCCATCACGAGGGACAGCCCATACGGATTGTCGTTCATTTCGCCTAGAAAGCAGGTTAGGTTGGGAGTTGTCCTCCATAAGATAATAATGTCATCGACATACCTTTTGTAAATGATAATGTCCTGGAGGAAGTATCCTGCTCTCCAATTGTCTAATAACCAGCTCACACAAATCCCTGGAGACCAAACTGCCCATGGGGACACCTCTGGTTTGTGAATTCCATCTCCTCTAACCATTTCAGGTGGTCAATGTGTGGTGACAATTACAGCAGTGGCTTTGCGCCACTGCTGTAATTGTCACCACACCGATGGAAAATGTGAGGATACATCTTATGTTCAACCCCCTCTTGACATCTTTGTACAGCACCATTGCAATAAAACCGAAAAGTTACCCTGACATATAGGAGATGCAGTACTTTGTTCGACATGTTATGTAACGGAAAATACTGATCCAATATGGAGAGACTATCAGGCATCTATACAGTCCGCTAAGGGATAACCGGTTTAACAGGGATTTGGTATACATAGGATCGACTAAACGTTCGTTGAGAATTAGGTTAAAAGAGCATATCTCTGATATACAATGCAATAGATGCACCACCTCACTCTCCACTTACGGAACTGATCCCAAAATTGTGGCGGATTTCACTCGAGCGCAATTAATTGTCACCACACCTCACATTGACCGACCAACTGAAATGGTTAGAGGAGATGGAAATTTTTAAAGCGTATGACACATCCTCATGCATTATTACAAGAGACGAGATTAGCCTATCCATGGCATGGCAGAACTTACTACATACGGAGAGATAGCATTATACTATTTATTATGTGGTAAAGAATAAAGAAAAAATTACTGGGGAACATGTGAGATCATTATTAATTATTTATCTCACTCTCATGTATGTT